GAAGTTGCGATTTTCTTGTGTTAGCTTACTATGATTTAGAGAGTGCTACAATAATATCTGAATCTTGAATTCCTGCATCCAGGAAATTCTGAGGCAACAAATGGAAATACCAATCTAGGTGACAACAAAACAGTGGAGGTTCAATTGTTAGCAGAGGACGATTCCAGTGCTCTGTACTTGATGAAAGAGAGGATGGCTCAGGCGCTTCGATACCTCAAAGAGTCAACAGATCAGCATGTGCTTGTTCAGGTATGGGCACCTGTGAGAAATGGGAATCGATATGTCCTTACGACTTCAGAACAACCATTTGTTTTAGATCCTCAGAGTACTGGACTCCTTCAATACCGGACAGTGTCTTTGAGATACATCTTCTCAGTTGATGGTGATGGAGATCTTGGCCTCCCTGGTCGTGTGTTTAGGCAGAAAATGCCAGAATGGACACCAAATGTACAGTATTACAGTAGCAAGGAGTACCCACGTCTTTGCCATGCCCTCAATTATGATGTACGGGGGACCTTGGCTTTGCCAGTTTTTGAACCTTCAGCTCAGTTTTGTGTTGGAGTAGTAGAGCTTATAATGACATCACAAAAGGTTAATTATGCTGGAGAGGTTGACAAAGTTTGTAAAGCTCTTGAGGTTGGTCATTTTTATGACGTTACTCTCCTTTACTCATTTATTTCATCCATTAGTGTTTTAGAAAGATGTCTTGGTTTCTATCAAGATTGTGAATATTTATAGCTTCTGAAGAAGAAAACATATATCATGATTCTTTTAGCTTTAGTTCATTAATTTACTACTGATAATACACAGAACTTACGGTGGTTTCCTTCAATAACATTTTATAGATGAAGATACAAATAAAAAAAAGAAAATCTCTATATTCAATATAGCTAGAATAGAAATGATGCACTTCTTTTCAGCAGTTATTCTTTCAGATTATTTTCTCCTTCTGTTTTTTCTAGGTTACAAATATATAGTAGTTCTATACAAGGCCCACATAAGGCTGCTGCCAATTTGTGGTCTGGGGAGGGTCACTGTATGTTGTTTTACCCCTACATAATTTGAGTATTTTCTTGTTGTAAATTATACTTCTTGTCGCACCAAAGCTGTTTAGTGTATGAAAAGGTATGTGCACCATATAAGTATCATTAGGTCTTATTACAAGCTACTGATTCCTGGGGAGGGTCACTGTATGTTGTTTTCCTCCAACTGTCTTCTTTCATTAATATATTCTCAGTTTTATGCAGGCAGTAAATCTGAAAAGCTTTGAAATTATGAAGAATCCATCTGTTCAGGTGAGTCACAAAGAAGAGTTGAGTAGACAAGTCCTTGGTCTTGTGCAGCATATTGCTCGAATGGCACATAAGACCCATGTCAAGCTGCACAAGCTTGTGCTGATCATAAGTCAGTCATATATCCAGATTCATATATGGCACAAACTTGGCACACACACTTGTATGTGGCCTTGATAATGTATTTTTTGCCATTCTTACAAGTACCCTTGTTTTTAATTAAAACAGATATGCAATGAAGGTCGCCAAGCTGCTCTGGCTGAAATATTGCAAACCATTGCTATGGTCTGTGAAAAATACAAATTGCCTTTGGCTCAGACTTGGGTTCCATGTAGGCATCGAACTATTCTTGCAGATGGTGGTGGTTCAAAAAAGAGCTGCTCCAGCTTTGATGGTAGTTGCATGGGACAAGTTTGCATGTCAACAACTGATGTTGCCTTTCATGTTATTGATGCACACTTGTGGGGATTCAGGGAGGCTTGCGTAGAACATCATCTACAAAAGGGTCAAGGAGTTGCTGGCATGTCATTTGCGTTACGCAGGCCATGTTTCTCTAAGGATATTACTAAGTTTTGTAAAATTGAATATCCTCTTGTACACTATGCTAGAATGTTTAAACTGCGTAGCTGTTTTGCCATATGCTTACAGAGCAGTTACACGGGAAATGATGATTATTTGTTGGAGTTCTTTTTGCCACTAGAGTGCAAGACATTTGGTGAGCAACAGGCTTTATTAAAGTCAATGATATCTTTGATGACAAAATGTTTTCACAGTTTGAGACCAAGCATTGATGTGGAACCACAAGAGGGAAAAGCCTTTGATCTTGACGTGTTTGCTATTGAATATCAAGAACTGGAACCTAAATTCATCAATATTGTGAGCTATGAAGGTCGTCATTCTGAATCCTCTGAAATTAAATCAAACGAAGGGCTCGATGATCCAGTGCATGAGGAAAACAAAGTTCCTGAAATCTCGGAAGAACATTTGACAGTAAATGCTAATGTTGGTAAGAATGGCAACATAGTTGTTGATACAATTGGTAGTGCCAGTTGTAGTTCTTCATTGATCAACAAGAAGAACAAACCACTTGAAAAAAGACGAGGAAAAGCTGAGAAAACAATCAGCTTGGAGGTTCTTCAGCAGTATTTTTGTGGGAGTTTGAAGGATGCTGCAAAGAGCCTTGGTGGTAAGCTTTTATCTTAACTGCAATCTTGATTTCATATTTTTTTGTGTGCATTCTTCATTAGTTGATCTTTGCTTACCTGTCTAAAGTCTAAACTATAATCAGATATAGTAGTTAATGTTGGTTGGTTCTGATCATATTACTTATTAATGGTTTTGATGCAACTTCTGATAATTTACTCTTGCCTTTAATAAATTGTATACTGTATGTTTTACCTTTGCCAAATACACATCTACATCCACATCAAACAGATCTTCCAGTGCATGCAGGATATCTGTATTCTTTATGCTATCTAAATCTAGTCATTCCATGGCTCCACAGTTTGTCCAACAACCATGAAACGCATCTGTAGGCAGCATGGTATCTCTCGTTGGCCATCTCGAAAGATCAACAAAGTTAACCGATCTCTTTCCAAATTAAAGCAAGTTATTGAGTCAGTTCAAGGTGCAGATTCAGCATTTAATTTGACCACTCTCACGGGTTCACTTCCTGTTGGTGTTGGATCTACAACTTGGACTGCCAATGTGGATGAACTGAAACAGAGCAAAATTACCAAATCATTGCACCTTAGTGAAAGATGTAAAGAGACATCTATGCGTGGACCATCCTATACTGAATATCCATCAACTGGTCTACGAGAATCAGTTGACAGTCATAGCAACATACAACTTGAGCCTGGTAAGGATATCCCCTCTTCAAAATCTAGAAGCTCTTCAGGGCAAGGGAGCACAAGCACACCTGCTTCTGAAGGTTCATGCCATGGAAGTCCGATTAATGATACCCATGAATGTAATCAAATTGTTTCTTCCAACTTAGAGGCTGGAACTAAACCTTCATTAGATGCCACCAAGCCATGTGCTCGAGTTCCGAATGCTTTCGTCCTTTGCTCAACATCTGATGCTATTTTAATGGAACCACAAGCCACAATCGGTGGAATTCTTATCGGGGATTCTGGAAGCGCCAAAGATCTAAACATTATATGTGCTCCTACAAGGGAGGGTTGTCATGATGAAGATGTGGCCCCTGTTCCAGCAAAACCTGTGCAAATGCAAGATCTGGTAACTGTGACCATAAAGGCAAGTTACAAGGGGAACATAATAAGATTTCGACTGCCAAGCACTGCTGGTGTTGTCATATTAAAAAATGAAATATCGAAGAGACTGAAGATGGATGTCAGCATGTTTGACATCAAGTATATGGACGACGACCGTGAGTGGGTTACCCTGTCTTGTACTGCAGATTTGGAAGAGTGCATAGAACTTTCCCGACAATCAGGTGGAAATCCAATCAGGTTATTGGTCAGTGACCTGCATTCCAACTTTGGAAGTTCTTGTGAGAGCTCACGTGGACGCTAAGGAATTTCTAGCTCTACCTTGGAAGTTCGCTGTTGACTTTCCTTATTTGTTAGCTTGCTACATGTTGTCGATATTAATTGAATTGATTAAGTTGCTTAACTGAATTGCGCAACTACTACCTGTATTTTGTTGTTTATTAAGCGTAATGCAGTGTAATAGACAGTAAATATGTATTATGAAGCTGGAATGTGATTTCCTGACGTGACAAGGGCTCAGAGTCTTGGTTTTGTGTTTTCTCGAATAGCTTCTTGGTCCATGATTTAAAATGTTTCATCATCTACTGTTGTCCGATATGTGTGAAAAGTTCACGAGTGAAACCTAGTATCAGATGACATTGGTTCCGTAGCTCTGTTTTTTTTTTTGTCTTCTATTCGTCACTATTTCGTGTATTAATTTTCTTTCTAGTTTGCAATTTTGGTGTCTAAATCTATAAAAATCTTGATGTATTTTCTGCTACAGGAAACTTGGTTGTTTTCTTGGTTAGCTTTTTTTTTTCTTTTCATGATTAAGTTGTCTGTAAGGAGCTGTTTTGGAGTTTCAGTTGCACATGTTGTAAACTACTAGACTGCATAAAATATCTGCTCATGAGATGTTCCTTTGAAGTTGTATTGCCTGATTCTTATGTACTAGTTATTATTTCTATATAGTAGACAAGAGTATACATGTTTAGCTACTAAACCTCAGCATGCACATCAAGCTACATTTTTCATAAACCATTGGGAATAGGCGGTTTGATTCATTAGAAAATGTAATTGGAAGTAATTCTGGTTTGGTTTGGACTATTATATATATGTTTTTGCAATGATAATTTGTTCTAGTTCTAGTTCAGAATTGAATCGTTATTATCTGTTCTAGTTCTGATTGTAGGGGGTGAGATGGGAACCGAAACACCCCCCCTCGTTTCTGCTTCAATTTAGAACAACTATGAAACCATTGATCGATTTTAGTTCAGTTTTAAATGATTCAAATTCTTAATTCAAACCGAACCAAATTTGGTCCTATCAAATTATGAATCCAAAAAGAGAAGACTTGTAGGAGGCAAATTTGCTTACATTGATCGCAGCAGTGGAGATGAGATGGAGGAGATAGGTGAGACCACCATACCAGACATTAAAGAGCAGCTTACCAACACTACACTCTCTCCATCTCCCCCTTTCACACACACCTCACTCTCTGACCTTCTCTCGAGTGTAGGCTAACCTCCCAAATCTACCACCATCAATCTCTGCTTATTTAATACTCGATTCCAATCCTAATCCTACCTCCTCTGATCCCCGATCAGATCAACACCGTACCGCACCACACCAAACATGGTCAAGGCTTCTTCAAGACTCTTCTCTCTTCTTCTCCGGCTCTTAGCTGCTGCAGCCACCCTCTGCGCAACCGTCATCATGGCCACCAGTCATGACTCCACCACCCTCTTTGGCCTCACCTTGGACGCCAAGTTCCAGTACACTCCTTCCTTCAAGTAAGCAACGCATCTACCTCTCTCTCTCTCTCTCTTCTCCACTTCTCCTTCCACATTGCGAAATCAATTCGAGGTGCATCTCGGTGTAGGTTCTTCGTGGTGGCGAACGCGATCGGATGCGGCTATAGCCTCGTCGTCCTCTTCGTGCCTCCGACGAGCTCGCTGTCGAGGTTGGTCATCGTGCTCGACGTGGTAAGGCCAAGGATTTGCATGCCAAGTCTGTGTGTGTGTGTGTCTCGTTAAAGAGCTAGCTAGATGTTTATGAATGTGATGTAGATGGTTGCGATGCTGCTGACGGCGGCCATCGCGGCGGCCGGAGCCTTGGCACAGCTGGGAAAGAGGGGGAACTCGCACGCCGGATGGCTGCCCACCTGTGGACAGATTCCAAGCTTCTGTCACCACGTCATGGGAGCTCTTATCTGTGCCTTGGTTGGTGTCGTGGCCTACCTTCTTCTCCTTCTCCACACCATTCACACGGTGCTCACTCCTCTTTTCCCATGAAGCCCATCTTAAGGTCTCCCTGTAAAGTCGACCATATATATATATATATATATATCTCGGCTTGGTTGACTCCAACCAATTAGCTCGCTCTGTAACACAGTGTTTTTCCGAACTATTATTATTACAACAATAAATATATATTTATGATTTCAAGTGTCATAAAGAACCCAACATACTGACTGGTTGTGTTGCAGCTGTTCCTATCCTTTGGACAATCCTACCAACTCGAGCACTGATGGATTCCATCAAACGACTGCATCAATAGTTGAGCCTCGCAAGGCCAATTGCAAGCACAGTTACGGTAGTAACACAAAATGCCTACAGTCGAGGCAGGGCTTCTCTTCGTTCAGGATCTAATAATAGCAGGACTTGAGCTTCTCTTGGAGTGCTTCAGGCAGAAAGACTTGAGCCTCTCAAGGCCATCTTCTAGAGAGGACGGGTCCACGGCAAATGTGATGCGAAGCCAGTTCTTGAATCCCACAGCACACCCTGCCACACACAGCATTCATTCAACTAAGAATTAATTCTCTGATACAAGAAGAACATGGTGCGCCAGAGCAGTTAATGGATGAATGAGAAGCTATGAACAAAAGTCCTACTGAAAGCAGATCACCTGGAAGAACAATTACTAGTTCCTCCTTGGCCAGCTTGGAGCAGAAGTCCATATCATCATGTATGCCCTCCAAACGAGATAAATCCAGTTTCACCTGCAGCTTGATGCATTGGACAGCAAGTTATGTATGAGCAAAGGGCCTCTGACAAAAGCCAGACGACGCCTTACCATCACGAACATGGTGCCTTCAGGTTTACTCGGGCAACTGATGCAGTCAATTTCCTTCAGTTTATCATAACAAATATCTGCTGTTTGCCTCAAGACACTGATGGTGTGTCTAAGGAAATCATCATTAGTGTTTTTTATTATCTGGGGAATTGCACCCTTGAACACAAATGCAAGAATAAGGTTAGCATGACAAATCATACAAACTAGAAAGAACCATGATAGAAATCAAAATCCACACTCAAATTTAATCATCCAAAGGTGCAGTACATATGCTATACAGTAACTCTCGGGTTGATGATTTATGTAAAGCGATCGTATCGAAATGGGATTGTTCTGCTGCCGGCACACAAACTCAATTTTCACAGGTTCTTAATGATTTAGATATTTGAACAAATATAATGATCAATGGTTTTCGCAATGAAAACGGCAGGTCGATCAGATATACACTATTGAGAACAAAGCATGTTACAAACACAGGAAAAAAGATAATCAACCTGCAGGAACAACAAGAGAAGACTGACAGTTCACTCCATGGTTAGTCTTTGATGAGCAAGAAGAAGCAAAATTTACTTGCACAACAATAATATACTAAAGCAGCTAAACACACACACACACAAAATTTGCATGTGAATGTCCATATAAAGGAGGACGACTTCTTACCTAGGTAACCAACATAGTAAAAAGGTTCAAATAAATTTGTCGAAATGGTGCCTTCTAAAGACATGCACAAAAAAGGATAGCTTTCTTGACATGTTGAAATTTAGAACCTGAAATCTGTGGTTTAAGCATCACAAAAACCACTTTCTTCGTATGCACATTATCTGATTAATTTGCAAACCCAGTGAAGACAAATATTGATGCCTATTAATGTGTGGCACCCTAGTTTAGTTCTACATTGACCATGATAGAAGAATTGAGTTGATTAATAAAGTTAGATGCATCAACTAAAGTGAACTTTGGGTTACATATTTTTTTGCCAAAGATTCAAGCCTATCATGTCAATCGGTCAATAATCCTATCAGGTAGGATCATGACAAATTGTATTAGACGACATTTGGGAACAACTCTAAAGTAAGACAATTTGAAGTATCTAACCTGAACAAAAGTTGCAGGATCGCATGAGATGTCGAGATAATTCTTAAGGCATTCCACAATCTGCAAAACAGAAAACTTAGAGAGTTGAAGAAGAAGCATCATAACTGGGAAAAGGAAATGAAGAACTCATATTGCATAATTTCTTTTAGATAGCATGAAACATAGTGGATTCCCCATGCATAAGTTACCTAGCTCAAGTAACTTCTATCTCAACAATATAATAAAAACAATCATAACCAGTAAAAGCAACAAATGAACAAAAGGAAAACTGGCCCTCTGGAAAAATGAAAAGGAGTCGTAAGGGTGCGAAATTGTATTTTCTTGTAGCATTCCAATCACAAAGTAGCTGACGATGTTTTTACCAATTCTGTTTCACTGCATATGCATATAAAAACTTACCAAAACAAGCATCTCCAAGCCTTGCTTAGAGTACATACACAACAGAATATATTTCAGAAATAAGAAAAAATTGGAATGCAAACAAAAAACAATAAATTAGCCGAAGTTATTATTTTTTCCTTATGTTATGATCATCTTCTAATCTGAATATTTGCTATCATTTATTCAGATTAATTCTGCATTTTCAATATGAAAATGAGAAGATTGTACATCACCTTTGTCTGGCTAAGTACTCCATTAGGATCATTTGTAACGATCCAGCCCAAACGCCAACCAGGGACTACCCATCTCTTTGATATAGAGCCTAAAGTAAGAACTGGGACAACTTCACCAAACATTCCCATCGGTACAAAGGGGTTACTCCCAAAGGTCAAGTGCTCGTATACTTCATCTGCAATGATCATAATGCCAAGCTTCTTTGCAGTGTTGGCTACCTGAAAATGTTCGAGACGAGGTTCTAATAAGTCGGAGAACATATTGCAACATAAACCAAGAGACTACTTGCCTTGGCCAAATGTTGATAGGTAAAGGTGTTTCCACAGGGATTTCCAGGGTTGACAATGACCATAGCAACAGTGTTCTCATCTGCAAGGGCTTCCAGGCCATCGAGGTCAACCTCCCATTTACTCTCTGGGAGAAGATTGAAGTATCTGACCTCAATTCCATTATAGGCAGCTCGCGCAGCATAAAACTGATATCCTGGCCTGGGCAGTAAAATGTTTGCACCAGGGCGAGCAAGGACAGAGACTACTATTTCTATCGCTTGAGCACAACCATTTGTGAGGTAAACATCATCAGGGGATAGCTCGTAAGGGAGATCACCAGAAAGGTAGTCTGCAATTGCTCTGTAATATTTAACATGATAATTGTTGTTACAATCAAAATATGATGGTTATTAGCACATCAAATGCTAATAGAAGAAAGCATGATGTTAGGATAACCAATCTTATAGACTAGACTTAATAGCTTGATCTTCTCGTAGTGTAATATCAAACTCCTTTGTCATGTGCCTCCAGCCTATTAAATCTCAACTATTAATAGTTGATCAATCTCAACTACTAATCCAAAACATTTTAGTCAAGATAGACACCTCTCAAGATCCTGTAGACTAAGTCAAATCTTCTCTCACTTCCAATTTGGTACTAAAACAAAGTATCACAATAATAGTCTCGCTAAAATGAAAAGAATGTACTCTTTGAAGGAGTGCTAAAGGATTTCATATAAAATATCAAAAAAATAAAGTGAAAACTAAGCCTGAAAAACATAGTTATCGATAAGAATAAATTTTCATAAACAGAAACAATAATAATTGAATGCAACTCTGCAAACACAGATGGCAAAGATATAGATTACAGAGATTTAATGAGAAAAAGGGTTCGACAAAACCGATAATCTTACTGTTGAACTGAGAAAACTCTTAAAAGGTAATAGCAGTAAATGAAATCTTGTACAGAATTTTGTTGCACAACCTTCTATGCATAATGGTATAATCCTATGACCGAGCAGAAGAAGTCAAGTATACTCGATGGCCATGAACAGATACAGCATGCTAAAACAAGAACAAAGAAAAAGGACATCCGTTTGAAGATCAAGCAAGAATAGAGAAAGGGGATCATCATCATCATCACCTTCTTGCGGGGGCGAGGCCGACGCAGGGAGGGTAGCAGTTGTACTGACCCGACCGGAGGGCGGAGACGACGGCGTCGACGGCCTCGGGAGCGGTCCGGAAGCAGGGGAACACCGAGGGGTCGCCGTGGCCGAGGGGGATCCTGGGCCGGGTGTCCTCCGACTCGTTATCTATGTTGGCCACGATCTCGGTGAGGACCCCTCGGACGGACAGGGAGGAGGCGGCCATCAGCGATTCGTTGGGCTGAAACCTCCACTCCCCAGCCGCGACACCGCCGCCGTCCTTCTCCATGATGGATGGATCAGTAGAAGCAGAAGCTGCTTTTTGTAGTGGGTATTTATTTATAGAGAGAAGACCTGCACAGTGTCTACAGTGCCCTATATAACGTCACCAATGATGTCCTCTCAAATCTCCAACGGCCGCTCGATCTAAACAACAAAAGGTTAAATACCAAATAATTTTGAGGAGATTCTGTTTTCTTATAATTTTTCGTAAAGGAAAAATCCTTTTTGTTTTGCTATTTCTTATAATTTTTCCTTTTCAAAAAAATAAAAAAAGGAAAAAAAACACTCTTCCCCTTTTCTTTTGGTTCCCTCTCACTCATTCAAATCCTCCACACGTTAATACAAGTACAAAAGGAACCCATCCACTTCCAACGGCTATGTGAAATGAACGCATGCATTGATTTAAGAACCATCCACTTCCAAAGACCACGCATCTCACTTCCCCTACATCCTCGCCTTGCTTTCCTCCGATTCCATGGATTCTCCACCACCTTCTACGCCGCCCTACACTCGGTCCTCCGCCGAGCCACGGCTTCGGAGCAAGCCCGCCTCCCGCCTTGCGCCCGCCTTGGACGGTGGCGAAGGCCACAATGACACCCAGATCGTCCCCTTCCTCGCCACCCCGCCGTCTAGAAAGAAGTCGCCACTGTCGGCATCTCCGCTTCACCTCTCCTCCCATAGTCCCGTTCCTCTCAAAGATCTCCTCCTCCTCTCCCCTTCCCCTCGCCACAAGCCCAAAGGGCGGCTGGCTGTCGAGGAGAGCCTCGAGGTTGCGGCCGCGGGTGGGACTCCCCGCAGAAAGGGGAAGAGCAGAGCCGCCGCCGTCGCTGCGATGGGGCTCATGGGGTGCGCGTCGCCGAGGAACGCGCGGAGGGCCCGGAGGAGGCTGGAGAAGGAGATCGTTAGGGAGGAGAGGGAAATTGGCCCCGCGGAGGATGACGGTGGGAGGGTGAGGAGGAGGAGGCAGAGTCGGTCCAAGGTGGCCAACAAGGAGAGGTTGAGCTTGCTCCCTTCGGTGCCTTCTTCTCCCGGCCCAGCAGCAGGTACGCGACGATGCTCTACTGGAACACACAGCGATCCCGGGATAAAAATCTCATCTTGCTTGATCTTGATACGCAGAAGTCGGTGGTAGCGACGGTCGCAGCAGCGTAGATGGGTTACAGGAGCATATCATCGAGCTTGTAATGTGGAAGAATGTCGCAAAATCCACCCTTTGGTTTGGACTTGGCTCCATGTTCTTTTTGTCTTCTTGTTTCTCCAAGGACTTCAGCTTCAGGCATGAGTAATCTTGATCCAAGTTTCTCTGGATAGGGGATACCGTGGATTAGCAACACCAAAATCTTATCTTTCTTGGTTTGCTCTCTGTTTGCAGCATCATCTCTGCAATGTCTCACCTGGGTGTCATCATTTTGGGCGTAGCCTTCTTTAAGGATTCTGTTCCTCACAGGTTTGCGGCCATTCCTGCAGCTCTCAAAAAGAGCTTTTTTTCTGGAATTTTAGGTGTAACCGCTAGACTTAACAGGCATCAGCTGAAGACGACAAGGAAACTCCAGCTAACAGAAGCCGACGTCGTCCGTGCCGCACAGGTCATTCTGCCAGTGGCCAACGCCGCCCTCGCCAAGACCCAAGAAATCTTCTGCGGCGATCCACTGAGGACTCTGCAAGCATGTTTTAGACTCGTTCTCTCTTCTCCAACTCTGATGTCCAGTTCAAACTACTGACTCGTTCTACTTTCTGTATCAGGTTGCTCCTGTTCTCCTATTTGGGGCCATGTATGGCCACCTGATAACCCTGCGGAGACTCCTCGCAACCGGTACAGCAAAAACTGTAGAAAGTTTGAGAATAGTATGAAACCATGACATCCAATACTGATTCTACAAATTGTGTAGGGTTTTTCTTGAGCTTTACTCTACCAAAACTCTACTCCTGCTACTCACAGCAGATACATAACAAAGGTACTTGATCTATATTGCCTATACTTTAGCTGGATAACAAGTGCTAAGCATCACAAACATAAATTGGTTCATTACTTCTCAGTTGAGAGTACGATAAGTCGGGTTCAAGAAGCATGGAGATCTTGTCCGCGCAAGAAATTAATAGCGGCATCAGCAGCCACAATGTTCTGGAACTTGTTCGGTGTGAAGTCACGCATCTTTGCAGGTACTAAGAACAAAGTTTTCTTCCAGCTAGAATTTGTTCTAATCAATCAGCAAATTGTCTTAAAAGTACATATGGTTGAGAGCATGCAACTGCGAGTTAATCAGATACATCGGGGATCGATATATGTTACAAGCCTGAAGATATACCTGCATCATGCAAATAGCTTGACAAATGCAGCTTCACTTTGTGCATTTGTATGTTTTGATTACATCTGGGGGATGAATTGAGGACCCTCGAGGAGAATTGTGCTAAGAGGTTAAATAAGTCTTCATAGCTAGTATTGTTTGAAGAGAAATGACAAAACATATACATGCATGCCTTTGGACAAGGAATAAGACAGAATGAACAGATGTGGGAGAGATCAAGAAGATGCAGCAGGATCATTTATCTGATAAGACTTTTGGGCTAAATTGCTGAGGAACAGAGACTGAAACCAAAGAAACTATTACATATTTCATATGTTCCCCTTTTTTTATGGATAAGACTAACAAAGAACAAAATTCTTTTTGTATCACTTTGCTAATACTTTTTTTTTAATCGATTTCTTTTTATTATTATTATTTCCACTTTATTGAATTTTAACTGCATTCATTTCCATTATTTTCAATGGAATGGAATAAATGTTAAACCCTTTCTCTTTATTCTTTCTACTAATACTATATTTGCCATTTTCTGCAGCATTTATTTCACTGGTAATACTTAGGTATCACCATCAGCAAGTAGAGGATAATGGAAAGAGAGAAAGGAAGGAAGAAGAGCAGCAGGAAGCAGAGTTACAACCAGAACAAGATGATCAACTATGAATTGAGTAGTTGCTGCATTTCCCAGTATTACAAAAAATCTTTGTATCAAAACTGTAACCTATTGCTAACTCTTGGAAGATTTAAGAGAGGCATGCTATCATTGTGCTCAAGAACAACATCTTATTCCCAAAAGAGCTATTTATTGCCTGCTGCATTAGAACATCATGAAGTTAAATGCATGATATTTGATATTCTCAAATATGTCAAAGCTCTTTAGTTGACAGTGCTATGGAAAAGCAAATATGACAGTGAAACACAATTTAGCAAACTAATCTGAGATTGGCCATCTTATTCCCAAACAATTACATGTTTTGGTGGTGGATTTTAGTAACAAAATAGCATGTTATTTTGCACAAAACTTAGTAGAGAATCGGTTTGTTCCAATCACAATTTAATTGTTGAAAATAAGTTTACAGTAATATTTCTTTTTGTAGACTTAATGTTTTCTGCCTGCAGGTTTGGTAAACTTCATTAATTGTTTTGGGTCAAAGGACTTCTTTGCTCTCTTCTGACTTGTGCTATATTTAAGAATTTCCTGTTATTGTTATTTACTGCAAAATAAATTTGATCAAATTTCCATAAACTTTAAGAAATATTTAAAAAAAGTGTTGTTAGCTCTAATGATTATTTTTCTAAACAGTTCATGTTCTAATACTTTAAGGGGCTATTTCTCTCAAAAAAAAAAATCATCTTTTTGATATTTTTCTAGATGATGTCTTATATTTTTTTTAGTTTTCGCATTTGGTACTTTTGTTTTCCTCTAATACCCTAGCGGCTCTCACTATCGGTGATGTCTCTTTCTTCTTTCGTTATGACGATGGTACTGATGGGATATAATGCAGAATAACCTTCGTATATGAACGAGTGCTAAAAGACCATAATACGCAGGGGAATTAAATGGAATCACAATCAAATAGAACACCAAGATATACGTGGAAAGCCCCTTCAATGTGAAGGGTAAAAACTACGGGGCAAACTAGAGATAACCCGCTATAATAATAATGAATATACAAATCTCAATCTCTTACCCAAAACCCTAGCAACAATCACAAAAAAATGACTGGGATACAATAATCACGTCACTGTGCTCAATATCTAAATCCTCCCTAATTCTCCCCAAATAATCATAGTAAGAATTTACTATAGATTTGATCTAACCTAAGATGAGAATCTACTGTAGATTTGATCTAACTTGAGATGAGAACACTGCTGAATGATTGAGAACAGCCTCTCTATGTTATCCTTGTTTTCTTTCCTTTCTTTCTCCTTGGATTTATGTCTTTTTCTCCTCCCTTTTACTGCTGTAAGGATCATCACGTTGCTACAGTTTTTCTCTTAAAAACGCAGTCACATGCCCTTTAAAACGCAGCCACCACACCTCCCTTATATTGATCTAGGGTTAGGTCAAAGAGGTGTAGGTTGTGGGCTGATAAAACCCACCATGGGCTGAACCCATTATGGACTGTCAGCCTAACAGGTACTTCTAGTCATTACTATCTCTTCCTTCAAAATGTCAAATGTCTCGAAGCTATTTTACTTTTGTGAGAAAACGACGAGGTGAAAGGAGAAGAAGACGACCAAAACATGTGATAAAGTCTCGTTATAGGGAGGAAACAATGAGGCCTTACAGAGAAGAAGAAGGCAACGAAAGTATGTAGAAGCAGCGTGTCCAGGCGACCACGACAAAGTGAAAGCGACGATAATAGATATCGAAGGAAAATAAAGACAATGAGAAAACTAAGAAAAAAGAAAAAGATGAATTTTTATACAAAAATCATCATACATACGTGCAAGAAAAGTCAATAATGTATTTGTGAAATAGTGAGACAAGAAAACATACTATTTATCATAACGTCAATATGATATGATAATTAATTAATAAACCAGTAACTTAAATGGTTAAAACGAGATATTAGACAAATATTGACCCTTATAAAGTCCATTAAAGTGATCTAACGCTTTCGATAGTGAGATTAAATCAAAGTTGTTACGCCTTCAGATCAATTCCGTCGTACTGTCGTCGTCGTCGTCGTCATCCATGTCATAATCGTTGTCGTCATCGATCATCGCCTCCTTCCACCAAAATTCCAAAGGAGAATCCGAAAAGGTTGTCTCCACTAAATTGCGTCGCATCACCTCACCCCTCCATCGCACCCTATTTATGAGTCTACTGCCAAGGTTGGGTTGCGTCGGCAGGTCGTCCTCGTTGGAAAACTAGGGCTAGGGTTTCTTCGGATCGGATCGGATCGGATCGGGCGTCAATGGCGACGACGGCGCAGCAACACGGCCACGAAGGGTCCAAGCCGGCCATGAGGAAGCCGGTGTTCACCAAGGTGGACCAGTTGAAGCCAGGGACCAGCGGCCACACTCTCGTCGTCAAGGTGGTCAGCTCCAACACGGTGCTCCAAAAGGGCCACGCCGCCTCCGCCCACCTCCGCCATACTCGTATCGCCGAGTGCCTCATCGGCGACGACACCGCCTCCATCGTCTTCACCGCGCGCAACGAACAAGGTGCCCGTTCTCCCTTCCTCTCCTGCTGCCTTTAGCAGTTATCGGAATCCGATCCTAGTGATTGCTGGTAGTCGCTTTAGATCTTGTTTGTTCCTGTGGTTTATTCTTTTCCTTCTTTGATCCGCTGAAGAAACTGCATACCTTATAACTGCGTTTCTGTGGTAAAGGATGGTGTATGATCTTCTAGCATTAGGAGGGGGGGGAAAAGCCCTCTTTTTTAGGTATCGAGACTCCATGATCAATCGTGATCGGTTGATGTAGTACGTGCATGGCACTCCGAAAAGGAAACTTTGTGCTGTTGACCGAGCTGGTAGTCACTGTTCGATCTGCGATCTTATGGTTATCAAAGAATTTATTTCTCGCATTAATAGTAATGGCCCGCAGTATTTTATCGTAGCATCTTCTTTGTTGCTTTTAGGCTCTATCTATTGAATTTTATTAGCAACATCATCATTCTTGTTATGGTTGAATTTTGGTGATTAGAATCAAGGAGAAAAGTCTCTCGTGCTTAAAAAATATAGCAATCTGGGTCCCTTTTTTTTGTTTGATTGCATTTTTTATTCAAACTAGTCTATTTTGTTGCTCTTAAATCCTATAGCTGATGCTGTGATGCTACATCTGCCACGACGCCTGTAGCTTAGAAGCCACCTTTTTCTTACCTTGCAACTGATGGATGAAAGAATAGGATCAGCAAAAAAAGGATTCCTGGCAATCACTTGATCCATATTACTTAAGATGATTTGTCAAAATATTGCTTCTGATTACGCAGATTAGAAGTCACAATTATCGTCGAGCTTAGTTGTTTCTTAAGATCAGGATGAAATCTTCTCATGTTTAGATTCTTCAAACAACATAATCGCCTGTCAATATTCTGTGCATATGACAAAATATTTTAATAACCTTGTTATTTTAATTAAAAAGATACAGAGGAGGTTCCTCTGGTATGCAACTCAATTTACATGGATTTCACATTCTCAGACCGGCTAACAAAATTTGATTCCATCACCCTCGTTGGACCCATACATTAGCTGCAAAAGTTTTTTGAGATTACTTTTCCATTTAATATCTATTAGAAGAACATGAAAGAGGATGCACTGATACTTGTGCTTTTGGAAAGAAAAAACAGACACAATGTGTATGGACCCAAAAGTTAATTATCTTATTACAACTTTTCTTCGGTTTACCTTGTTGTGACATGCAACTGTTTACCCTGTCTAGAGGCAACAAAAATGAGTACCTATCCGCAATGCATATGTAAAATTAGCATAGAGAAGGACCATGCAGTCGTACTTGGTTTTCCAGTAGGTTGTAGTTTTTGTCATCCAGGCAAATTTTCTTCCTCATTTTGGCTTGCTTTTGCTCAAATTGTTTATAGTAGTTCTTTCCTTTTATGCAAATTTCTGAATGACTAATTTGAGTATATTTGGCGGTGAGGTTTTATCTGAGAAATGGTTAGCTATTACCTACTCTGGGAATGGCTTATATGAATCCTTTTACCATCCTGGAAGTTTGATGTTTTACATTTAATTGTTGTGGGGCAAAGGATATACGTAACAACAATATTTTTCGCATATATGGGAATTTAGACAAAGCTATTTATATATGTAGCAACAGTCTTTTGTTCCTTTAGGTGATACAAATTAATGCGTCAGTGATTAATGAATTCTCTAAACTGACAGTTGACTTGTTGAGATCTGGTGCTACTGTCATACTGCGCAATGCAAAGATTGACATGTTCAGGGGTTGCATGAGGCTGGCTGTTGATAAGTGGGGCCGAGTTGAGGTTACTGAACCTGCTGATTTTGCGGTGAATGAGGAGAACAATTTATCGACGGTGGAGTATGAGCTGGTGAATGTCAGCCAAGAATGAAGAGAAGGAACTGCAGAAAACTTTATCAGACGGCGTTGTTGATGGGGAAGCTTTTCTAGCTTTATTTTTCATAGATATCAATAGTATATGATTCCATCTGAACAATAGTTGGGAATTATACCTCATTGGCACATATCTATAATATTATCTGTGTATCTGTAATCAGAATGGCACATGATGGTTGATATCAATTATGATGCACATAACCATCTGCTGATCTTATCGAAAGCATGTTGTTTTAATAATCATTGTTGGTTCCTTTACAGTTTCTGTTAAATACTATTGCTTGGATTCAATCCACCTTTCTGTTTTTTCCTTTCAAAGCCTGAAAAGCATTTGAGAGGGGGAAGAAGAAGAAAGAAATGGGTGATGTGATGTGATGTTCAGGTATTCAAGATAAGTGGTAGGGAGGAAGAAGAAAGAAGAAGAGTGAGATATAATATAGATGAGACCAAGCCATAGGTGCAACTCATTTAAAAGGGAAAAAAAGAAGAAGAAAAGAAAGGGATCAGAAGAGCAAACCATCCGAAATAGACCAATAATCAGACCGGCATGTAAATCTAAGGACCAGACAGTTGATTACTTGGATTTTTTTTTTTTTTTGTTAGATGGATTAACATCATCTTGAAATGTTGAGTGCTTTCTTTGATTCCCATTCAAGCCTAAAATTGTTGATACAGAGGAGAACATACCTGAATCGCAGCAACAAGGCGATAAGTGTTCTTCATTTTTTTTGCTTTGGAATTCTCAAAAAGTAGAGAATTTGTTGTTTTCATCTCTGCATAATGGTGTTTTCATATCACTCATTACTGTCACCCCAATTAATCATATTTTGTTTTAACGTTTACAATCTAAAGAAAGGAAATAGTCACAGATAATTTCATTACACCTACAGGTTTGGAGCATCCAGCTTTTGTTTGGCACACAGAGAAGCACCCTAGCACGGTTTTAAAGCTTCTACTCACAAAATTATTCAACGCTCTGAGAATGAGCAACAGCAGCTGTTTCTGTTCCAAGAAATTAAGGAATACAGTGAACTAGAAAAATAAATGAGACATAGAAGTAAGTGGGGGCCCTTTTAGATGGCTGCCAACCTCACATCATCAATATGCTCTCCCCTTTTTATTGGCACATTCCGACACGCCAAACCTTGGACCCCCCACTGGATCTTCCATCTCCACAGCTCTCTGCTGCTCATGCAGCTTTCATTTGCTGCACAAGTTTCAAAAACTTTGGTTAGACTGGTTGTTTATAGATTTCTTGCACCAGTTACATCAAGAGTAGCACTAACAAAGTGGACAAAACTATAATTGCCCCTTCCTAATATTTTTTTCATCCTTGCAATTTGATCATCTATGCATACCCCAGTCAGACTCCAAGTCCAGAGAAAGGGAATAGCACTAACATGTTTTGGTGATGGTGGAACATAAAAAGAATTCCATCTTTTGTAACAAGCATATCAAAAGTGTCTGTAGACACCAACAGTAGGTATCATTCCTTTTAGTTTAATGTTGAACCTGATCTAAGCCAGAAGATTCCATGAAAACTTCTGTTGATGATTTCTTTCTTCTTGTAAATTCATGTTTTCATTTTCCAATGTTGAATAAGATATCACTCGAAGCATTATTTGCAGGAGGATAAGCCTCTCTGGAGGAAACTAGAACCAAAAGCATATTTAACTAGTGAACAGACCTCTTCTATGTTTTTAGCTGTTCCTGTTCCTTGTATATCTTCTTTCTTTTCATCCTTTCTAAAATTATACTAATGGGATTTCAATACTTGTGTCGACCATTTTCTCATTTAGATGAGTCTGATTTTTTCTTTCACTTTATCCATATTTCATGACTTCCATGCTCAAAATATCACTGGTGCCAGATTAACATCCTTGGTTGCTAATAGTTCCAAGTTAAGGCCTACAGAAAGGACAGCACCGAGACGATATGGATAGAAAAGTCATACTGTGCTTGTTTCACAAATTAATTAAAGGTTAATTCAACTAAAAAATGTTTATGGCTTTTGAGTGTAAATACTCACTCTTTTCTCCTCTTCCATCTTTGCCTTAATGTAGGAGTAGATGGCAACTCCTGCAATTGCAATACAAGTCCCAATGCCCGTCTGCGTTGAAATCTTGTTTCCTGTTTCAAGATCACAAGTGTTAGAATGACGATGGCCTTACACTAAAAATCAGCACTGCAGTCATTGAGACATCGACATGCCGACACATACCAAATACTATGATTGAGAAACCAATCACGAACACACGCTTCAGAACATTTCCAACTGCGTGCGTGAGAGGAGCCACTCGTTCCAAGGTGTTGGTTGCCAACTGTCGGATGCATAAATGCCATTATGTCAATCAACCACATCAAGAAACATCAACATGAACAAAGGATCATGTATCTTCCAAAACATTAGAGATGCAATGAGTATATTTAATCAACAAAAACATTATTACTGAATCAGGTGAGTTCAACATAAATTATTATGGTGAAGCAAAGAGCACATTTACTGGACAACCATACAAGGTAGTGGTGGTAGATGCTAAAAGGAAATAGAGGTCAAGTACGATAGCATGACAACTAAATACCAAGATTTGTCATTTGGAACAGGATGTTTGGCTATGTGAGGATGTTAGTGAGACAAAATAGTTATCAGCCAGATAAGATGTGCTCATGACTACAGGTTAAAGTAGCATAATACTATGTTTCTAACAGTGTCTATATAACTTGTTCATATAGCTTTATAGAATCTATCAACACAATCAACTTTCTGTTTTAACAAAGAGAGAGTTGACATTGGAAGAATATGATTGACATGTAATCAAACTTCTAATTTGAGCAAAGATGAAACCATGCATGGTAGTATTCACAATCCATCCCCTTAATCCACTAAGAAACCAGAAACCCCAAGTAGACCCATCTTCCAATTCTTAATGGGTGCATCAGTAGCAACTGATCTTTGTCTGTTCCAGTGTATTCAAGCATCGAATTCTTTTAGCCACACAAGCAGAGGAATCATTTCTATACGGAGCATATCAGCATTAATGCTTATTAGACGACCAATATGTCAAGCAATTACCTGGTTGTATAGGTGATAAAACATTCCCACCCAGAACAGATCGGAGATGAACTTTGTTAAACCTACTTTGGCAATTGCATCCTTAAAACCATACTGCATCAGTTGAGGTCCCTCAACCTGAAAGTTCCAACATAAATGATCAGTCAAGAGAAACTGCATAACTAACAGTTGCATATGCTACTTCAAATTCCAACACACAAGCCAATTAATAAAGAAAAATTGTTCTGCCCCATAAAAATGGTTACGACCACCGAGGCATGTTAGGCTTTTTCACATTGATGCACAATGATTTAGGTCAAATACCACAATGGATAATGGCCTTGCTCGATATGCACTGAGCAGCAGTATATGCTGAATGTTAAGCATGCTTGTCTGGTAAGTAGGGTACTGAAACAATTCTCTTTAGGTATCCTATCTGTAATAATATTGGATGGATGATTTCATAGCCAGAAACAAATGGTAGGACTAACTAAAGATACTTAGATAGTCAAATGTGTTTAGTTCCTAATGAGTATATTCTGATAGTTCATTAAGAATGATGTGACACATCACCAAGCTTATATGTTCTGATGAGATTAAAGAATGAATTTACAGTTAGTACCCAACAAACAATTGAAGTTCTCAGCATAACTTTTGTTTTCATTGACATTATAATGAACTATTATTTAAAAAAAAATGTAAGTAACAACATTTGTTTTTGTCTTTAATTGATTAGTCCAGGAAACAAGTTCAACCAAGAATTTCTCAAAAAGTCATTTTGGTCAAATTCAAGATGTTTCACCATAAAGAATGATATTACAATTTTACAGGTTTTGCACCAGTTCCTCACACCTGAGGAGAAAAATTATTCAAATGGACATCTAACAACCATGTAAGCCACTAAGAAACCTGAATATAAAGGAGATGATATTATAAACTCCTGATATTATCAGCCGTGACACTTAAGCATATCAAAGATCTCTAGTCCCAGTAAATCTCCAAGGATGATGAGCAATGTCTGATGGTTCAACATGGGAATGCAGTAAAAATAATTTATAGAAAAACTCTTCTTAATTGTCTCATTCATTTGACTAAATTACTTACCAGAATTGCAGGCGGGATACAAACAAAAAGCGCAATGATCGATATGTATGCATATACATTTGTGCTGTCCATGTCAGTCTGCAATGTATAATTAGCTTTCATTTAGTGAAGGGGATCGATATAACAGAAATAACAATCAAGAAACCAATGTACCATAGCTTTCTTGGAATAGATGCTCCTGTAAGTGAAGGAGACGTTTGAGATCATGGCACTAATGAAGCCAGTCCAATTGAATGATAGTTCCGTAAGGGATGCCATTGAGACACCTGCATTTCACAAACTTTACCGTACATTACAGTGACCAGGCAAAGAATTAGCATTTAACTTCTCAGTTATTAGAGTCATTAAGGAAAAATATAGCTGCCTTAGTAAGATATTGGCTGCTAACATGGCCTCCCAGAGACGATTATCCTTAAATCTCTGTTTAATTCTCTTGAACGCTTACAAAATTAATGTATGAGTGACCCTTTGGAGGAATGGCTTTGGCAATTAGGTCTGCTTCGATATATGCACTGGAAAGATGCAAACATCAAGCTTACGTTTCCAAGTGTAAGTGCAAAAGATTAAAGGAAGAGTAAGGCTGGCCATTTCATTGTTATGACATTCTATCAATTTATAGCATATACAATTAGATTGGTAAGAGATACAACAGTGAAGAAGCAAATTACCTAGTACAACTGGGGCCAAAGATAACCACAACGTCAAAGGTATCTGTTGTCCAAGGATGAACTGAGAAGCTGCTGCATTGAAGAAGGGTTCCAGTGCTGACACAAAAATAGAAGGTGTCAGAAAAAAAGGTGTTACGAGTACTGAATTGTAATTTGCCTCGGAAGGAATAGCTCCAACTCATAATGGGACATCCAGTTAAAATGGAACATTACCCTTGATTGTGTGAGTAAATGAGACTGCAACAGCAGCAAATGAAACATTGCTAGTAACATGGCCGATGGCATGGCAGACGGCAACAGGGATGAGCAGCTTCAAGAGATTTGAGTCGATCGGCTAAAAGAAAGACCAGCTCAAATCAAATTGCATATCGAATCTTGTTAGCAGGTTTTTTAAGGTAAGACCAGCTCAGTTAACTATGTCGCATGCAAAATATAACGACTGACAACTATAATTCAAACAAAAACCTGTATGGGCACGCTCACTTGGAGTTTCACAAAATTAACTACTCGAGTTCTTTCGTTCATATAATTAATGATCAAAGCGACCAGAGTTCATGATGCATGTTAATTGCGCACTGATGAAGTCGTGGGGTGGAATGTTTGGGACACAACAACAGCCACGTTTACGCCAACTAATAACTACATCGTGACAGATTTGATGGAATCTGCCGTCGTCCAACAGCATAATCCACCGCTTTCCGAATAACGAGATGAAGTACAAGTATAATTGCAAAGGAGTAAATGCAATAGTGGGATCGGACGGCGGAACTTACAGCACGCTTGGGAAGACCGACGGTCCAGCTCACTAAACAATACACCACGCCCACGAACAAGTGTATCACCGACACGAAGCTGCACCCAAACCAAATTTACCGTTAGTTTACCGCGAAGCCACGAGCCTGATAAATGTGGGACCGCCTCCGCTTATGGAGAGTAGACTTACTAAGGGTACGGGAAATAATTGTAGAGCTTCTTGTTGATGATGTTAAATATCACATTCAAAAAATACCTGCCAGAGTGTAATAAATAGTAATAAGCTAATGGTACGTTGGTAATTCGATTCAAATCACATGTGAAGTAGTTACGCGAGGTGGTGAGGAGACCGCACCACATGAAGAAGAAGAAGCCGGTGACCAGAGCGGGGTACTTGGCGGCGAAGCCCACCTTTGTTTCCCTAATCGAGACGAAGACAGCGAAAAGAATGCCAAGAAAGGAAACCGATTAGCAGCGGAAAGCTTCTTTGGAGTTCGGGGGAGGAGGTGGCCGAGGAGCCACGGAGGAGACGGACCTCACCCGACGGAATCGCCACCTTCGGCCGGCGAGGAGGACGCGGCGGCGGCCACCGGGCGGAGCAGCACCCGCCTCGTCGGCGGGGATGACTTGTCGAGGTGGAGCAGCGCCGGACGGAGCTGGCGGCCCCAGATGAGGTTCCCGCCGTCGGTGACGGAACCGGCAGGGCGGGCGGTGGCGTGCGCGGCGAAGGCCGGGTCCCTCGTCGCCTTCCTCGGGAGGCGGAGCAAGCCGGCGATGCCGCTGCCGGCACTCGAGATGGCCCCCGTCGTCGCCATGATCAAGGGAGAGGTTGGGAGGGAGGGAGGGAGGGGGAGAGGAGGAAGGTGGGTTCGATTGAAAGGCACGATTCCGGAGGGGGGAACCAATAAATACTCGAGCGGAGGAGAGCGAGAAACCGACGGTGAGAGAATGGACGTCAGGCGGATGATGCGGTGGCATAGAAGTTTGTACGCGTCCATGCGCAGGTAATCTCCATGTAACGATATCCTCGCAACAGATTTTTAGTAAATGTGGACGTCAGACGTGGTCTCAGCTCCCAGATGATGGCAACCACTCAATGCACAAGTGGCGGAAAGAAGAAGAAGTGGGAGTGAGAGTATCGTTAGTTTCATGAGGAGGAAGAACCGTGGGGAAGGGCGGAGCAAGAGGCGTTATGCGAGCGTTATCTGGAGGAGGAGGAAGAGGTGAAACGAGTGGCGTTCGGATGCGGGAAAAGCTGGGACACGCTTCTCCACTCCTTTTGGCTAACCCCTCCTTATCCACTATTCTAACGAGGTGGCGGAAGACTACACGAGGGGTTACTTCCGATGGTACTACTACTCGACAAATGCATAGCTGTTGAGGGGGGGGGTGGGAAATAATGGGCAGATGAATCATGATTTTGTTAATCTTATACGATGATCAGTGGTCCTGTGCATGTGACGAGTTAAATTCAAATTATATACTATCAAGGAAGAGAAGAATAAAATACAGATGAGACGATCGTGGGTCCCAGTCCATGGCAGCCTGCCTACAATGACAGCCAAATTTGTCACGGTTACAGTTCGTCGTTTCATTCCGTCATCTTTGCCCTTGCGCATTTACAGGTGTTTCGGCCTTGCGCAACGTTTATATAAGTCGATATCGATAGAGTGAAAAAGTCTTTGGCAACTCAAGCTAACTCAGTGACTCTAATAATATCGATGGGGGGCAAACAGATGAAGCAAGAGGAGCAAACAAAGGATCGAACCTCATGGCACAGATCCTAGTAGAACTGTTGTAGGAGGAGCACCTCGATCGCACATTACTCCGGATGGATAAGCAGGGAGTCACGGGGAACCGAGTCGCTTGAGAGGTTCATGGCATCTGAATCGATGATCAAGAGGAGCACACATCCTCTCCCACAGAAGAAGCATTGTCACAAGGTCAACAAATCATCTGAATCGATGATGAAGAGAAGCAGACATCATCTCCTAAGGAAGAAGAAGCAGCATCACAAGGTCAGTAAATCAAACCATACAAGAGACACAAAAGAAGGATGATGGAGATAAAGATGCATCTGGACGTCGACCATACTAGTTTAGAGAAGCTTTATCAAAGTAAAGAATGCTAAGACAATGGTAGAGTCCATACAAAATGAGACGTCCACAATGGACCAAATAGTATTCTGAGTCGAGCAAGATAATAAAATCTTTCTTGAACTTAAATTTTGAAGTATTAAAACTTTTGTGAAAGAAAAATAATACGGTGATAGGGTTGTTAAGGATTAATTACACAATGAAATTATGTGAATCATGTGTTGTTATAAGAAAACAACCAAGAAGATTTTTCAAATTGAAAAGAACAAAGAGAGCAAGCCAATGACTTAGAACAGTAATGGTCTTTAAAATAAATCATCAAAGATAATATTATCATAATAACTTTTATCCATTTGTAAAAAGTTTCTTGTTGCCACGCAGGTCATTTGAAGTTCATGCATAAATCACCTTGCTATAAATTGACTACCTTCATTCTTTTCTTTCTTCACAAGAAAACTTGCCTCCTCACTTTTATTTTTAGAATTATAACAGCATTCTAAAACATAATGGTTAAACCTTACGCAAACATAACTTTGAAATTTAAATTTATCGTACTTCCATCTTGAATTTCTACCACATCAATGGCCTTGGTCTCAACCATATACACGACCTCTTTGGTTAGAATATTCTCCATCATTTTAGTTATTTTGTGATTCATGAGTGGCCTGTCATCGGCCACTTTTCCTTTCTGTCCAGGATATCTATCTCTTTGTTGTTCACTTTTATTCTCAAGTGTGAGGTTGATTTCCAATATTTGTTCCATGATTTATCTTCTCTTTTTGCATCTTTGTTCATGAACTTAAAGAGATCTCATTAGTTGTTCTAACAACATTTGGTTTAGATCTTTGGTGCACCTACAAAAACCAACTTTGGATCCAAAAATCTTACATTTTTTTCATTACTCTTTAGTCATTTATTTTTATTTTGTGAATAATAAAATTGATTTTTGAGAAATGGTCGGAGATAGACATTGAAGTACCTTGCTATAGTTTTTTTAAAAGGTCATAAAGCTTGGCAACGGATCTTTTTATTTTTTTTTGCTTTAACCGACCCATCAAATTCTTTTTGTATTTCTCAAGCCTCTCTTAATGTTTTAGAGAAATAATCTCGGATATTGTATATTTTGGTCCATAAATTATAAACAAAACTTCTCCCTTTTTTTATCTTTGAGTTATTTTTCCTTCTCTATCCATTTTGTCTTCTTCTAGATCTAGTTCAGGATTTCTATTTTGAATATCTCACACATCCAGAGAATCTCGAAAAATCTTCATTTGGAATGTATCGTATTTCATAAATCTCTTACATCAATCTAAGACATCTGGTTTAAAGATGTACCAAAATGCTATAGTTTAAGTGAATCTAATAACATTTTTTTACTTTGAAAGGATAGGGAGAGAAATGGAGTTGTGAAACTAAGACGAAGAGTATGAACAAAAAAAAATTTTTTTACTACTCCAGCACTATGTGCAATTCAACTTATTTCATCTCTCTCAACTCATGTCAACTCAATTCTTATAACCTTATTTCTTACCAGCTTGTTTCCTATCATCTTATTTCCTGTTATCTTATTTCTTATCACCTTGTTTCATTTTACTATTACCTTATTTCCTATCACCTTGTTTCCCAACATCTTGACTCGCCCATGATACAACATACAGCCTTGCATTGGCTCTATGATACATCAACTACAGTGTCTCGAAGATGCATCTCTTTTCTCTAAAAGACCTCATCTTTCAAGATTTGAACTTAAATTTGATTTTATTTTCCATGAGACCTCTCATTTTTCAGGTATGGTTTTTCACCTTTCAATGCAAAGAATGTGATCTTAAAAAACTTGATCAATTTTAATTTCTAAGACAACCATCTGTTTAGTTTGATAAGCATAATCACCCTCAAAAGACAAACAAACATTGGTGAAAATTAATCAAGTTCGGATTAATTCGATGTCATCTCAGTAACAAGACATAAGCAATAAAGTGCAGCTTTATCTATACCACCCATGCGAAGGAGATAAAAGAGTAGATACATCAAAAGAACAATTCATTAAATAATTAACTGAAAGCTATGTTGACAACTTCTTTGGTGTAAGTTAAAGATGATGAGATAAATGCACAAATCTCCAACTTATATAATCCATGTTCTCCATGACTTTGATGAACTTGAACTTAGAGCAAATATCTGTACCTGATTATAGATGAACAGGCTTTACGAAAGAACAGCTAAGGAGAATGTATGGATGTTGTAGGTAAATAGCAAGGAGAATATCTGAACATCGTATGGATCCTATAAAAAAGATTTGAATCAGACGTCACTTCAGACACTTCACGAAGATTATTAATGGGTATGACGAATAACAAGAGATGGAACCTACAACAGCGTCGAGCGATATCAAGTTGGAACTACCAATTATTCTGTATGTTTTTCTTGATTGAACGACTTCAGAATTGTTCTCTGGAACCCAAACCAACATAACATGTAGACAGACCCCAACTAGCTCCAATCAGTCAGGATCCCACACAGGTTTAGTGAGATCCAACCACGTTTCTATTTATCGTGTATTGATCCCCCAACAGCCCCAGAATGTGCATCATATACGATACATTTCGAGACCAAACATATCACCAACGAAATCAACCAAAATGTCATGAAGAAAGGGGAGAAGAAGAGCAAGAACCTGATGGAGGGCGACGACGCCGATGGGGCACCTGGCGAGCTGGAACGCGGCGACAGCCTCCGGGTACATCCGGGGCTCGTCGCAGTACACCAGACGCAGCGGCCTACCCAGCCCCAGCGAAGCAAGGTGAGTAAATGTTAGGGTTAGGGTTAGGAGCAGGAGGGTTGGATCTGGCGGAGGCGTTCCTGGGAGACGGCGACAGGAGGCAGCGGAGCCACTCTTCTCGGGAGGAGGAGGAGATGAGGGTTTGTGTTTGATTCCTCCATCTGTATACTTGGCAGTGGGCTTTGATTAGCTTTTGGAGAAGAGGGCAAATCGAGATGAGCGCGCGAGTGCGGACGCAAAGGATTAAGAGGGTAGAGCTGCGACGTGGGCCTCGGCCCAACACATAACGGTCCGAGTTTTTCTAATTTAGAAATATGTTTTTGCCCTTATTTGAAAAATAAGTTATAGGATAAGATAAAAAGTTTATTCCCCAATCATAACTCATCACGTGGCTGCCCGATCAGCACAAAGGATGGGACCCGAACAGTATGGTACAATAAAATATTGATATTATTTATATAGTTTAATGATATTGATTCTGATGTTTGAGTGCATGAACAAAATACTTCCAGGGATTGTCCGACCGAATCCCGAGTGCTGTCCTGCTCGCAAACGTACAAGAGTTGGCGTTTTGTCAGCAAAAAGATCAAGTCACAGATGCCCAACTCCAGCAGCCACCGGTTAAGCTCGGCAAAAGCCGCAGGCAGTGTTCTGTAGCTTTCAGGGAGGCGGAGGAGGAGGACGCCACTTCCCGCCTGAGCCTGCCTCGCCTCGAAGAACGCGAAGCTGACGTGCGCGGAGGGAGGGGAGAGTGATCGCTGCAGGACCATCAATGAACACCGTAACCCGGAAAAGGCATGCCGTTCCCAACCCCCAGCCTCCCACTTGCTCGAGCCGCAGCAGGAACAGCTCGGGGACTGATACGGATGGGAGAGCACTTCTCTTCTGCAAGAGGCTCGTGATTCATGTGGTCAGACCTCATCAGGATGGCGAGAACCTTATTGTTGCGTCTGCTGCCTTTACATCCCAATACTGAAAGCTGGATCATGGACTACATTCTACAGAAAAAGATCAGTCAAAGTTGTAAGCACTGCTAAACGATCTCTCTCGTTAATATATTGGTCAGATCATTACCATCCCCTCCCTCCCCTCCCCTCCCTCCTCCTCATGTGCCAGGCCTCAGGCATACAGCCTTTTTGGATCTTTCTGCTGCTCCTTTCCTCATGGCACGCTCCCCATGTGACCCTCACTCTCTCTCACTCTCTATTACAATACTTACTATCGAATCCATTGATCTAATCTGGTCTTCCATCCAATGAGTTGGAACAGCTACCACACTGCCTGCATCGTCTGCAAAGGACCTTGGATCAGCTTGAGAGATGGTCATCACTGAACTATCGGATTGGGGCACATCCTAAGAGGAAGAGTTCGTTCGATCGATCGATCTGGACGCTCGAAACCTCTGTACATGAAAGAGAGGCCAAGCGAGGGAAGATAGGTACCTGAAAGCATTCCTTTGCACAAGTTAGCGTTATCGATAGATATAAGCCCGTGAATTGTACTCTGCAGTCCAAATCTGGAGCTGCTGTTGTGCATTTGTTGGATCGGCCGCAGGTGGTGTTGGAATTCGTGGGAGCTGCTTCTCTCGGAGCTTCAACCTTCTTCTTTTATGTTCATTGTTTATAGTAGATCTCATCTTGCGTGGATTTGACTACATTGTTGGAAATCATCTCCTTCCACCAAGATCTTACTTCAAACAATGATGTCCATGCTGTCATATCTCATCAAATGATATGGAGAGAGAGAGAGAGAGAATGAGGGATGTTGAATTCTGCACTGAGTCACTGGAACTAGATTATTAAGGTGATCAGGGGACATTGAGCGTCTCCTTCGCTGGGTTGTTTGTGCTCCCAGTTCACAGACTATGCATTTTGGTGCCCGATATGAATGTTTCTGCTGCTGCTTTTTGTGTCCACCAGTCATAGTTAAAAGGGAGCATTTGGATCCATCATCAGCAACGTCAGAAGCCATGTCGTCATTTGAAAAATAGGATTATCGTTTAAGATGAAATTTATAAATAATATTTAGTTTCATGTTGATTGAGCATTAGAAAAATCAAAGATTTATAAATCCATCGAATTACTCTTACCCTTTCAGGTATTTTTTTTGGGCTCGAGTCATATATACACGTCCAAAATGAATAATTGGTTATTGTGAGCCGTGACACCAATATTAACAAAATATTACTTAGATTAGAAGAAGGGCCATGAGCCCTTCACTCCCGATCTCCCTTACCTTTTCCAAACGGATAAAATTATATGGATATGTTCAAAACTGTTAATTACTTATTAAAACTATACATTATGTTGCTAAAATAATAAAAAAGATGATATAGGGTCAATGCTTTTATCTATTGTTAAAATAATAAAAAAGAAGGTATAAGGTCAATGCTTTTATCTCCTTGGAATAGAGAGAAAAAAAACAATAATATCATGCCTCAATAGGTCTATTAGAAAATAATAATACGTTTTTAGGATTTTTTTTAAAACATACTCTCTCCTTAAAAATTTTAAAGTTACTCATAATTTTTTAAAATATTGAGTGGCTTAAGCGATAATAGGTCATATACGTGGTTTTTTTGCCTAATACCCTCGTTCTTATTTGTTATTATCATCACATCCTCATCCATTATTATTGTTTTACTCATCGTCTTCACCCTCATCCTTATTTGTAGTTGTTGAAGCGTTACTAAGGTCATATCGTGAAGTTTTTACTCTCATTGTCCTTACATTTTTATTGTTAATAACAAATGAGAGTATATTGATAGCACAATGGCATGCTCGAGAGTGATGAACAAGATACCGGTGGGATCATATGAACATAGGTAAGGTAGAGATAATAATGATAGATGACAAAGACGAAGGCCTCAAATAAAAATGAGGATGAAAATGAAGAGCACTATCTATTAAAAAAAAAAATAAGAGGCATCTTTAGGAAAAAAAAAAGCAACTTTCAAGAAGAGTAAAAAATAAAAATCTTATGAAAATTGCCTCTATATTTTAATGTGCTAAAGTTAATGATCCTACTAATAGCATAGTTTGGCCAAAATGCCTGATGACAAGCTTTCTCGGAACTCAAAGCCTGCAGTCATGCTATCCATCACTCATCACCAAGAAAGGGGTCTTTCCCTGATGTCGTTCTTGCTATATAGATGAGAGGAGGACACCAAACAGCGCACTGTTGCAGTGTGCTACCACTGTTTTAAGGTCTGCATCTGAAGCCACCTCGCTGTCATCTCCCAGTCTCATGCACAAGCACAGAAAAGCAAACCTACATTTGTTGTGCTTGTCCTCTTATTTTATTGTTGCTTTCATCTCTCTTTAGCACCACTCTCACTCCCAAGCAGACGGCGGCTCCTCTTGTGCTCTGTGGAATGGAAGTGTAGCAGTTAGATGAGGCGGAAGAAGAAGCCTTCCTTTTGCGGAGTCGGCCGACCACACTCCCACCACCGAACCGGCGGTGGCGATCTCTTCTTCTGCTTTACTGCCCGCCGCTCCGCCGCCGCCGCCGCCTCTTCTTCCTCCGCTGCCGTGATGCGCACGACCTCGTTCAAGTCGCTCCCCAGCCCCGGCCGCAGCCGCGACCCCTCGGCGGCGGCGCCGTCCCTTTCCGCCTCCCTCAGCCGCCGCCTCCGGAGCAGCGGCAGCGTCAAGGGCGGCCAGTCCCCGATGTTCCCCGCGGTCGTCGGCGGGAGGCGGAAAGGCGTCGCCTTTGAGGCGGCGGAGCCGTCCTCCCCCAAGGTCACTTGCATCGGCCAGGTGCGGGTGAAGAGCAAAAAGAGGAAGAAGGCCTCGGTGATGCGATCGCGTTCCGTGAGGGGGAGCCGGAGGGAGGCGAGCTTTCGGAGGACGGAGGACGCCGGCGGACCTCGAGAGCGCTTGCCGAGCAGGAATCAGAGGTGGGTGCATCAGCTCCCGATGAGCATCTGCGAGGCGCTGAGGGCATTCGGGTCGGAGTTCAACTGCTTCTCCCCTTGTGGTGGAAGGTCCCTCTGTTCCTCCTCTTCTGCGTCGAGATCGGGCGACGCAAGCGAAGGAGAATGCTGCGAGAAGCGGTCGAGCTCCTGCGGGGCAGCATTCGCTAGGTGGTTGATGGCGGCCCCGGAGGGTAAGAGACAAGAGGACATGGGCGTGGCAGCCGAAAATAAAAGGGACAGAGAGATGGGAACGGTGACAAAGGAGTGGGTAAGGAGAGAAGACTTGGGGTTGGTAGCGGAGATGGAGAAGAGAGAAGAGGTGGTGATGGTGGTGAAGAAAGGGAAGGAGGAAGAGGAGGAGGAGGAGGAGGAGGTGGAAGCAAGGGTCAGCATTTGCATTCCCCCGAAGAATGCTCTGCTGCTGATGAGATGCAGATCTGATCCGGTCAAAATGGCAGCCCTAACTAGCCGTTTCTGGGATTCGCAGGCCGTGCAGGTGCGCGTCGAGGAGGGAGGAGAAGAGGAGGAAGATAGTCGTGACGAGGACACAGATCAATGCCGAGAGTCTGACGAAGGAACACAGGGAGAGAGGGATAAAGAAGACACTGAAACGGAGCAAGTGGATCAGGAGGGAGTGGTAGAAGAAAGCCTTCAAGCAGTGGTTTCGGTAGAAGAACCGACTCAAGCATGTGAGAAAATAGAGACAAAGGAAGAGGAGGTGCAGGTGAATCTAGATCAAGAGAAACAAAATAAGGATGAGGACCTAAAAGAAGGGGCTGCAGCTGAGCTTGCTGAAGTAAATGCAAACACAGGAGTTGATCCAGAAGAGCTAGAAGTTGCGGCAGCTGAAGCAGATAAAGTTAAGTTGGAAGAAAAACCAGATGAAAAGGATAATGACAATGAGACTCGGCCGGAGGATAGGGAGGAAAAAGCAAGGAGATCCAGCAGCTGCTCATCCACAACAGACAAGGAGGAGAGATCGAATAGGTGCATTTCCAGGGCAAGAGATGGAGGAAGGAAGCGCAGCTCTGCTTCGAGGGAGAGGGACAGGCGGCGGCGGCATAGCTTCTCCACTGAGAGGGAGGCGAGTAGACCCAGCTTGAGTAGTGAAAAAGAAGTAAGGAGGGCGAGCTTCTCTACAGAAGGGAAGGGAAGATGGAGCTTCTCCATTGAGAAAGATGGTCTGAAACTAGAAAAGGAAGCAAATGACGAAGAAACGGAGACCAAAGAAGATAGCTGGGCAGAGGAGACAGGACCAAATGACACTGTTGAGGTTCAAAACATGCATAGCATGGATCAAGAAGAAGTTAAAGATGATGACGATGGAGACAGACAACAACATGGAGTAGAAAGTGAAGCAAGGGAAAAGAGAAAGGAGGAGAAAACGAGCACAGAGTTGCCCGACTGCCTTCTATTAATGATGTATGAGCCGAAGTTGTCGATGGAGGTTTCAAAAGAAACTTGGGTCTGTAGCACAGACTTCCTTGAGTGGCATCGCCACCACCCTAACAACCGGACTCATCTCTCTTCCAAAGCCGCTGCTGCCGCCGCTACCATCATCACCGATACCACCAGCACCGGTGGTGCCAAGGTGAGTGATGGAACCAAAGGTGAATCAAGCAAGAAGAGCACAGATAAAAGCAGTGAGAAGAATGAAACGGTTGCACCCATGAGAGAGGCACCCTGGCATCCACCACCTCCACCACCAGCATTGCCCACTATGGTGGATGCAGAGAAGAAGCTGAGAGGCAAAGTTTCTGTGCTGCAAACACCCGCTCAAGCTCTGGCATATGGGCCGTTTGTGCTGACACGATGCAAGTCGGAGCCAATGAGGTCGTCGGTGAGGCTGGCTCCGGATGCTTGTTTTTGGAAGGACCGGCATCAGCCCATTGGGGCCACCGGAATTGGATTCTGAGCTGATAACAAACAATTTAAATGGTTTTGTCTGGATCTTCGACAAGGTAAGAACACCACTAACTATTGTGCAAAACATCGTTCAACTTCTTTGTGTTAGTGTTGCTTTGTTGCCTGTACAATAAAAATGACAATCTCGGTTTGTTATTCTAATGGAGGTCTTGTGTGGCAACTGCAAATTTTTGTTTAAACTTACTGTTCTAATTTGACTCTGGGATTAGTCTCATGCTGGTAAAAGTGAATAAAATTTCTAAAAGAATATTTAGCAATCAAGTGAAACACATCTCGTTATCCTTATATGCCTTTTATGACAGGGATAAGAAGCATATTTTGTAGGTATCCCCTTTCAGAAAAAGAAAATTCGGCATGTGTGCTATTAACTCTTAAGGCAGTGGCTAATCATGTGTCAGGACATTTACTTTTGTCAATTTCTTAGTAGTTTGTGGTTTTCATTTGTTTACATTTACTGGTTTAGTTTTACTGATGATCTTAGAGCTTCTCGTATCGCTAGTCTGATTCCGGTAAAAGTGAATAAATTTTCTAAAGGAATGTTTAGCAATAAAGTGAAACACATCTTAGATCTTTTATGCTTATCATGACGGTGATACGATTTATATTTTTATACTAATAGCCTTGCTGCTAAAGAAAATTTCGGGATGTGTTCTATTGACTCTTTTAAGCAAGTGGCCGATTACATGTTTGGACATATACTTTCATCAATTTCTTTGTAGTTTGTGGTTTCTTAGTTCTACTGAGGGATCTTGGAGCTTCTCATTTTGTTCTTCTTATTTTGTTAGTCCCATGCCGGTAAAAGTGAATGAAATTTCCGAAGGAATGTTTAATAGTCAGGTGAAACATGTTTTGTACCTTATTTGCTTTTCATGATAGCGATAATCTGTACTTTGAAGTGATACCCTTTTACCGGCATTTTGGATGTGTTCAATGACTCTTCTAAGCAAGTGGCTAATTATGTGTTTGGAAATATGCTTGGTCTTGTTCCTGTTTGTGTTCTCAGTTTAAATCATTATATTTTGCATGACCATATACATGTTTCAAATTCATGGATAATTATGTCTTAACATTTTTGGATCAATTTAGTTTTGAGTTTTCTTATTCAGCCAACTGGAAACTCACAAGGAACTTTTGTGCAATTCGAAGAATCTTGTAATTGCATTGGTGAAAGTCATTTCTTCATATGTTAAAGCAGTTCTGTTGTATGGATCGATATGAAACCAAAGAGACAACCTCAACAAGTTCCAATTCTAAGCCAAACAACTTGAACAAGATGGTTGAGAATTGCAAGGTTAGCTTGAACTTGCAGAATAATCCTAAAGCTTCTACCAATTATCTTCAGGAGAGCTTAGCTCTCATAGTACAGTTGTTGAAGTTTTCACATAAGACTCTCTACTGCTTACCTCCCAACAGCAATTTTTCATATATCAATCATATTTGTTCTTTTTTGGAAGTACTAACAGAAAAGAAAAATCTAATCACAGTACTACTATTGGTTTCATGATATCTTATTACATTGGTTTGATGACAAGGGTATATATAGAGAACTCTTATTAGATTTGCAGGAATGAACTATTGTCATAAGCTTGTATGTTGTTCACCTGGATGTGATTTGGCATGCTTGAATGAGAATCTAACTACTAGGAATTATGTTGAACACTTCTGGTGGCAATTTGTGGATAAAAATTTCAGTGCTTTCTAAGTGTTTAATGAATCTAATTACCAAGTAGTTCAAAACCATGCATGAAGTACTAATCCACTTAGAGGGCCAGAGGCTGCCCTCCTGCTTGCCACTTCACAAAGAGAAAAGAGCAAGAGGTGGGGAGAAGAGAAAGAGGGCAGGGGATAACTGGAGGAGACTGACAAGCATGATTAGAAAGTGACATAGGAAACTATTATTTCTTCCTCTTCCACAACTCTCACTGCTTGCTGACACCATCATTATCTTTAGCAGCTTTTCCCCCATGGAGTGCTTTGTGCTGAGAAAGTGATCAGAGGTCCCCCTGTTTTCTTCCAGCCTCTCCATCCATCAGTTGTGCCTGAGACATGCATTACACCAAACAAATTTGATCTGAGTCCATATGCTTTCCTCATGTAGGCATTCAGAACAAGCAAAATCCCAATGCATTTCTCATCAGTTACTGCAGACATGAGAAGCTCAACTTTTTGATTAGTATCACACCACAGCGTAGCAGTTGGCAGGACATAACAAAGCTGACTAATTTCTGCTAATCCACTGTTCAAAAAGCTGCAACGAATCTTAATGTATGAGTGCCCGAATCCACCGGTCTGCCAGTAGCCACTGCAGACAGCCACAAAGGTAAATGATGGAAGAAGAGGGCAAGATTTGAACCCGGTTCGCATGGGGTCGATTTGGTCGGGTTGGTTCTTCCAATAACCAACCGGTTTAGCGTTCGGATTTTGGAGTCGGATCTAAATTAGTCAGATGTCGGGTCGGGTTTATGAGGCTGAGATTGTGCTCTTACTTAACCCCTTAGTCGGATCATAATTTCCAAACCCAAGCCCAACCCAGTTGGAGTCTATCAGTCCAGTTGGGTCTTTACGGTTTGGGTTTAGATTGGGCTCACTTGGACCCGTTTAAGTGGCAGGCCTGGCCTGACCACTTTAATTATGTTTATAGTTCATCCGGGGCGCTACCTGCCGTATGATTGGATCTTAGTTATGAGACTTGCTGGGCCCCTTCCTCTGGGTTATCTGGTTGAGTTGGATGCGGGGTGGGAAAAGTATGAATATTAGGGTTTGCAGGGTTTAGCGGGGACAGAGCGGCGGAAGAGAGGAGGACGAGTTCGGCGATGGGGAAGACGTCGTACGTCAGGCTGAAGGGGAGCCGCCAGTTCCGGCAGCGTCTCCTCCTTTCGACGCTTTCCTCGACCCCGATCCTCGTGGAGGATATTCGCTCGGACGACACCTCGCCGGGGCTCCGGCCTCACGAGGTTTCCCTCCTCCGCCTCATCGAAAAGGTCTCCGACGACTGCACCGTTGAGATCAACGAGACCGGTTCGTGCGCCGAAACCCTGCTTTATCAGCTTAAGAAGTTTGGATTCTGAGTGACGATTTCTGTGCTTCCCCTTTTATCTGTAGGAGTTTGGGTGGGGATCGCTTACCAATCTGCTAGGGTTTGGTTTGTGCAGGGACGAAACTGAGGTATAAGCCGGGAGTTCTTATGGGAGGGAAGTATTTAGTGCATGACTGTGGTCTCAACCGCTCCATGGGATACTTCCTCGAGCCGCTGATCTTGATCGGCCTGTTTGGCAAGAAGCCCCTCTCAATTAGGCTCAAAGGTTTCACCCCTTCTTACTTTCTTTCTTTTGTTTGAGGTATTTCTTCGTGTTGTTGAGTTGAAAAGTATTTGTGATCTTGTTTTGCAACTTCCTACATCTGCTGAATCCAACTGTATGCCAACATGAACATCTCTTGCATATCGAATCATCACTGGCTCTCCTATTGCTGAAGTTCCCCAATTTCTGTGATCAAGATCACGGACAAAAGAATAACTGCCAAGCTGAAACTTCTATATTCCTGAAACTATCGTGGATAAAGAAATTGGCTAATTGTGGTGGCCAAAAGCGGCTATACATCTGCTAGTTAATAGATTGAATTTTCTTTTTCGTTTTCAACAAAAAAGGTGCAACATTACCATGACAACATTTTCAAACATGGGTAAACAATCAGCTGCTAGTAGTGTCGTTATGTCTAATGATATTTAATTCATGCATTTTGGAAAAAAAAGCAATATAATGCTTCCATTTCAGGGATCACAAATGATTCTAAGGATCCATCTGTTGATACCTTTCGGACAACAACATTGCATATGCTCAAGCGTTTTGGTGTCCCTTTAGAAGGACTGGAGTTGAAAATTGAGAGCCGGGGGGCTCCTCCTCTTGGTGGTGGGGAGGTTGTTCTGGGGGTTCCGATTGTACCAAACAGCTTGACCGTGAGTTCCCTTTGTTTCTTGCTTGTAGAAGTAAAATTTTGGTTCTTTTGCTGGTTATGTTTGAATTAAACTGGTACTTGCAGGCAGCCCATTGGGTTGATGAAGGAATGGTTAAGAGCATTAGAGGGGTGACATTCTCGACACGAGTATCTCCGCAGATTGCAAATCGTATGATATATGCAGCTCGTGGAGTCTTCAATCGCTTCATTCCTGATGTTCATATCTTTACGGACCACAGATCTGGTCCAGCTGGTGGAAGGTACAGCTTAGATATCAACCAGTCCTTGTCTATGAATTTGTTTTGTCCGGTACATGATCATACTGGTTTCCTCTAATACTTTGGTGAATTATCTTAGCCATATATTACATTCTTTCTTCAGGATGGCGTCTTATATGCAACATATTTTCCATATTCCTATTTAAAGAGAAAATACTAATTCTGTATTTTCTTTATTATGATAGGATGCCTTTAGATGCATAATTCTGGTACATGCTATATTTTTGTACAAACATACGCATGTCATGTTATTAAAAAAATTAAAAATATATGGCTATAGAGCAGGGGGCTTAGTTCTGGTTGAACCATTGCCTAAGGTTGGTAGTTAAATGGCCCAGTAAAATAAGTAGCAGAGATGCATTTTTGTTGTGCAGATGGCAGTGCAAATCCTATCAAAGTGAAGGACGGGTATCTATTTTTTCATTTTTGTTTTGTATAACAGACCTTAAAGATTTAATAGAAATTTTCCATCTTAATTGATCATATTAAAAAGCATATATGGCCTCATATGATTTGTTTGAGTTAGTAATGCTTTATGTGGAACTTAAAAGTTAAAACTAATAGAGATGCTACAGCATAGCTGAGTTATTTCTCATAACGAACAAAATAATGGGAACCTTGCTTATCCATATATTATAGTCCAAATTCTATGAAATACATTGCTCCGGCATGGTTAAATTTATAACATTTAATTTTAGGATTTCTTATCAGTTAAACCATCTACGACAAACTTATCCTTAACATGAACTAAATGCATTCAGGAAATCATATAATAATAGATATTAACCAATGAAAGACTCAGAAAATTTCTCCAATTTCTTTCATCGTGAGCTAATTATGTGAGCTCTAGATTCTTGAAATTGTAAGCTCATAGTTACCTGCAAGCAAGGTTCTGAATTCCGTACCATACCGATGTACTGATCAGTTGTCGATACAGTTCGTACCGAGTGTATCGACACATGATACACTAAGATGTACTGATATACTGCTTATCCCGGTCTTCTATCAGACCTATATGTATCACCCGTACCGAGCGGTACGGTATGGTATTACAAACCATGCCTGCAAGTAAACAAAAGCTCATGCATCAAAAACAATATGTATATATAGTGATTATGCATCTAAAGCACATGCCTGAAATCACTAGCTGTGATGAAAATTCCATGCAATTCATGAAGAGAAAGTTCTCATATTGACATTTGCTAATATGTAATTTTGTTGGAATCTTGAGCACCAACATCTAGAGTACCTAATACGTATTTTATTATGAGTCAGATGTGAATAGGATTCTATTTTCCCTTTTAACATACGTAAATATGGTCTCTTCCCATTTTGCGAGTCCATTGTATCAATGTGTCTATGATATGATTATTGGGAATATGTAGCCAAAAATAGCAAAGAGGTGGAAAAAGCTTTGAAAACTCATGTATTACCTGCATGTCTGATTTGTAGGAATTTAGTTTTGACAGTTCATCAGGATCCCAGTTTGTAGGGAGACCAAGTTTAATTTTGGATCCCTATTGGCAGTCACCAAATCTCTATAAAGTGTTAATAATTTCTAATATATGAGAACTTTGAGTGTTGTAAAATTTCTATTTTAGATTGTCATACGATACCTCTAGTTTCTTTGTCTCATTCAACTATATTGTAGTTAGTATTAATAGCTAATAAATGTTACTTAATTTTGATCTCAAAACGATTGGTTTGCTATTTAATTAGGTTATATCCTGGTATAACTTGAAAAACCTGTGAACAATTACGGTCTTGTTATGGATACTTCTAGACACGTTTGAGATTGATTCTGTTGAAAAGAATAAGATCTTCTGAGAATTGTAGTGTCGGTTAATTACCTATCAATTGAGATTTTGGTTGAGTCTGATGAGTGGTTTGAGTTGCTTGTAGTGGAATAAGTTGTCATTCCCAAACCAACTAATTAATTGTTGTAGACCATTAATTAGACTTAATCTACTTGCCCATCTATGTACCAATTAGACCTGATTAAAGTTGTTACAGAAAGCTTATTCTCAACTTGACTCGAATAAAGTAGTTCAACATGATTAACCTGCTATGACAAAATTTGATATGTTTATACAATCCAAAATGACACTGTTGACAATCAACACTGATGATGATTTATTTAACATCTTAACTTGGTTATAAAATAGTCATTGCAGGTTAGTCAAGCCAAGTTCCTAAAACCAAGTCTGGCCCCTCTATTGGGCATGTTTATTATGTCAACCTGATTAATACAGCTACCTATATGAGAACAATCTGCACCTGCGAAGTTCTTATTTGCTTCATGTTGGTCTTGTCATGTCACGAATTCATATTCTTGCCCACTCCAAGTAACTATCTTTTGGTCTACCACTGGTTGGAACTCTATTCGGTTCCTTAAGCCTGAATTTATAAACACACAATTTCTGAAGTTCCATTTCTTTGTGTTGTTTAGCATATAAATATATGATATTTAATTGAATTCTGCTTTGACAAATGGCTCCACCACATGGCAGATCACCAGGCTATGGCTTATCATTAGTTGCAGAAACTACTTCAGGCTGCTTAATTTCTACAGACGTTGCAATAAGCTATCCTAAAGCTGACGAGACAGATGTCATGGAAGATTCTGAGGAGAAGCCAGAGATGTTGCCTCCTGAGGATGTTGGTGTCCAAGCTGCTTCGATGTTACTTGGGGAGATAGAGCACGGGGGTGTAGTTGATTCAACACACCAGGTTTGCTGTTATACTTCTTGATATCTCTTCATAATGAAAATGGTTGATGCCATGTGCAGTAGATTTGAAGTTCATAAACATGGAAATACTTAAGAATCAATGTGTAGATAGTTGCAATTGTGTTGTGGTACCTGATAGAAAGTCCCCTAGGCGGCCAAGTATAAGCTCGCAGCTCGTGTGAAGGTGAATTAGATGATATTAAATTACTTGGGGTTTATATGCTGCAAAAATACTAAAGAGAACTGATGTTAAAATAATCAACCAAAAATATCATCATATTTTGGCCAAAATTATCATGTGATTGTTTTTCAGGCGTAGATTGTCATTTCATTACTCAAAACCGTCCTGCAAACTCATGTCAAAGCTTTGGTAGAACATGCTACCGTTCAGCTTTAGGTATTCCCAGCATTGCATTCTTTTGATTCCCACAATGTACTCACGTGACTTTTGAAATGTTTCCAGGGCTTGCTCTTTCTCCTCTGTGCTCTATGCCCCCCAGATGTATCCAAGATTCGTGTCGGGAAGCTAACACCATACGGGATAGAGACTCTTAGAAATATCAGAGATTTTCTTGGTGTCAAATTTGTTATAAAGCCTGATCCAACTACGAACACGGTAATACTGAAATGCGTTGGATGTGGGTTGAAGAATCTTTCAAGAAAGATAGCGTAAGCTGTGGATACCATTGAGGAATCAACCAAGTTTTGGACGCTCTTTGGTTGTCTCCAGACATGTATTATCATATCCTCTGGAATTAGTAGTTTGATGAAATTATATTCGAGTGATCACGACACCCAGCAGGCTGATCTTTTCTGTGAGATTTTTTGTGGGTTGATTTTGTAATTTATTTCCTAATAGTTTGATTTAGTTATCTTTTTAACCGTTGAAAGGATGAATTCATTGTTTGAAGAAGTATATGATTGTTTATTTTTTTATAATAAAAAAAATTTTGATTGATTGATTTGAAACTAAACCAAAAACATTGATTCCTGTTTCAGAATTCAGCAACCGTCGAACCGATAATTCTAATTCGATTTGATTTCGGTTCGAATCGAATTATAGTCGGACTTACATGATTACTTCTGAATTAGCTTGAACATCGATCTCCAATGTTGAGATTACAGAAACAAAAATAATGTCATTTATAAATTGCGCCATACTTCTTCATTCCAACTAATTATTTTTATACACATATCCGAGTCGGCCACCTATCGTTTTTAACCTTATTAGACCCTTACTCGGATTCGGCAGCGGAATACTCCTGCCTCCCTGCGAAAACGGGATCCAGGAACAGCGCGGTCGGCGTCTTCCCCTCCATCGGCGAACGGCAACGGCGTGCGGGCTCTTCCGCGGTATCTCTCCCTCCTTCCCCTCCATCCTACTTCGCCATTCCAGCGTTTTCTCCTCCCTCTCTCCCCTTCACCCCTTCGCCGCAGACCGGTGCGCCCCCTCGGGCGTCTTCCCGTGCCTTCTCGCCCTCCCCCGCCGCCTCCGTCTTCCCCTCACGCATAACACCAGGTGTTCGGCGTTATTTCTATACCGGGCCCCTCGAGCCATGACCCACGCGGGTTCCTTCATCAGACGGAGGTTTTCATTCACGCAAACCATGTTCACCGGAAACACCGGTGTTGTGCGTAAACACTACGCGTAAAGAAAAGCTCGTTGCTATAGATATATCAACCTACTATCCCTTCACCCTTCTTCCTGCGCTCTCTCGTCTTCTCTGCCTTTCTTTCACTGATCGAGGTAACATTTCTAGCGTCTCCTATAATTTGCCATTTTAATTCGCAGATTTCTTTACTCTTTTTCCACTCGGAAGAATCCATGAATCCATCTATGTGGGTTTCTCTTTTTCGTGTTTGATTTTAGGGTTTTCTGGAAGGAGGAAGACTTAGAGTTCATGTGACAAGTTCATATGAAGTCTTATGAGAATTTATGTGTGATTCCTTTCTCTTTCTCCCCCTTCTTTTTATGTGATTCTCCCCAGAAATTGTGGCTGTTAGTTGAATGCCATTCTGAACTACTAATATGCATTGTTCTTTTTTCAGATTTTTGCCATTTGGATTTGGACCCACAGCTGTGAGGAAATTTTTTTGGTACCAGCAGCAAGATGAATGGAGAAGATCGTGTTCCACGGCCTCTATTTGGGGGCGCCATATCTAGTTGCTTTCCTTCGAGGTTTCAGGTAAGCTCTTTTTGTTGTATGAGAATTGTACTTTTGCCTTTGGTTTTAGGTTATAGTATGACATGTTATTTTGTTGAATCAGGATGTAAGCAACATACGGGAAGTCCCCGATCATCAGGTTCTCTGCAGTTTTAACTAGCCCTTGTGCTAAGTCTCATTGTTTATAAAATTTGACGAGGTTTAAGATTGTTGGTGTATCTGAATTCTATTGAACTTTTGAAGGAGGTGTTTGCAGATCCCGATCGGGATGAGAGCCTTATTTTTGAGCTACTAGATCTGAAACACGAGGTTGGAGACGGTGGAAGCGCTGTTTGGTTCCTGCAGGACATTGCCCGTGAACAAGATGCTGAAGAAACCATGGTAAGTTCCTTCTTGATGGATTTTTGGGATATACTGATTCTAGATTAGTTTGAAAACTGTATTCACTATTCAAGTAGAACATTTATGCAGTTGTCTATGCCACTTTATAGACTTCCTTTGAGCTTTCCATGGGTCTTGTAACTGCTGCCACTCTATTGCTTTATTCTATAACTTCTGCAACTTTGGCATTGTTCACAACGTTAGAGATACTGTTTTCTTATTACAAACAAAACTTAATTTCTTTTCATTAGATTAATCATCGAACCTAAGACCTATCAAATGTGCAACAGTGCACTAACAGTAATAATTCTAATAATTCCTGATGAGTTTGAATTGCAAGATAATAAGTTCGTTGTCTAGTAGACTCACATAATCATTGTTGTTATTGTGCAAATATGTAGAATAACTACTTTTGCTTTCAAATTTTCATAAAATTTACCTGTACATGTCACTCGCTGCAGAGCATCAATAACAAATAACCATTGAAGAAAAAAAGTGGATCTTAGGTGCTTAAGTCGACATGAATGTTCCGATGGTTACCTGTCTTGAAATTAAAAAAGCACCATACTTTATGTTGTGAGGGTACTTCAGTGGTCTTGGGGCTGCCTAGATACCAAGCTCATAGGCAACCGCCCATGACAACATTTTAAGACAGTTGTGGATGTTTAGAGGTTCGCTAATTCTTTTGGATTTTGCATTGGTGACAATAATGACTTTTGAAGCTGGAAGTATCTACACCTTGCATTGGTGACGATATATACACCTATTTATATTATTCTAAATGTTCTTAGAAAAGAAATGTATTTCCTATTCTCTAGTTTGTGAAGTCTTTTATGTGGATAATTTTCCAGCCTAGCAAAGACATTTTTCAGCATGTTTGGAGCAGTTGTTTCCTTTTATTTGTCATTGTCGTTCTGCATCCAAGAGGTTACTTTTCTGTGATAGATGGTCTTGTCTGATTTATTTATCTAGACTATGGTGAATGAAATATCTGGTTGTAATATTTCTTTGATAATTTAATCTTTTCCTTGTCTTTTACCAGGTCCTTGAGCATTCTGGCACTCTTGAGGCTGTTGGTTTAACAAGCCTAAATGGACCTGCAATAGTTACAACTGCCATCGGTCGAATGGTAAACTTACTCATCACGAAGTCTGTTACTATATATTGTTATTTTCTGGTTACCGCATTTTGATGTTTATGCACATACTACTATCGAATATTACTTGTAACTGGTCAGTGCCTCATTAAACCGTTTCATGGGTCTTTTGTGCAATTCTTGGTATTCTTGTTTTTTTTATCAAGGAGGAAGTTATTAAGATCTCAAGGATCTACAGAAATAGGTCATTGTGCAAAAACCAAGTCAACACTGGTGGAAAAGATTACAGTCACAAACCATTAGATTTTTCAGTTCTAGCTCTTAAGGCAGCCTAATTTTCTGCCTGATTACATTCGCAAAAGTAGCGGTTTACATCAAAGGATGTAAGTTGCTGTGCAAGTCTTCTAATGTCAATGATAATATGGATAATGCACCAAGGTTATTCTCGGCATATGTGGTGGATATTTTCATTATAAATTTTAATGCATAAAGTAGGCATTTTCAATTGAGATAATTGACTGCTTCCCTGTGCAATAATTTTCTGGGATGAAAAGTGCTATTGTCAAATTATAGATAGGAAAATAAATCTGCTTGTTAAGTTCCAGAGTACGTGTCGTACATTTATCCTCATTGGCATTGTATACAAACATATTTTGTGGGTTCCAGAGAATATCTTAAGTAATTTTCTAGTGAAATACAAGACTTGATGATAAAAGATGATCTGAAAATCCTTCATACATCAGTTTTCTTGATCAAACTGTAGTTATGAAAGGCCAGAGAACAACTAGGCCAAATAAAAATGCAGCTAAAAATGGAAGTTGCATAGTTCTGAGAATCCATCCCCATTAAGCTGAAGTTTAACTGTTTTGATGTGGGATTGCTTGGGGGACAAACTAAGTTAATGCACAATATACTGTAATAATTAAGGTATAAGCATACAATAATCTTAGCCAGCCATTTGTAGGGGCTTCCTATTTCTAGTTCTAATGCAAACATCCTTAAGAGCGCACAATTTGATGCAAGGCATGAGTGAATTTGTATCGAGCTGTTGCTAGGAATCAAGTCAATCAGCCCATCAAACTTTATCGGGAACCCCAACTTCAAAAGATCGAATCATTCAACTCCGGTAGATATGGAGAGCTATTAGCCCTTGGCAGTGCTGTTATAGCTAGGTGACAAGCTTCCTTTGTGGGAAATATTATTTTTAGTACTAGTTTGGTGATGAAACCATTTTTTCATCCGCACCTAACAGGTTGCTTATAATTGAACATGGATCAAAATATCATGAAAATGGTTCTTAAAATGTTAAACCTGACAGTTCTACCAGATGTATATTTTTCATAATTTTGGATTTATTATGCTCTTTTATTGCAGGAAAAGGATGGCTTGTCAATTTCTTGCAGAATTCATATCTTTTCTTAGTGATTGACTAACAAGCAATTAAACAGTACCTTATTCAGATGTGTTCACTGTTCATGTTTCCTTAAGACCTAATCTATATGATAATGCCAAGAGAGAAGAGATTATTTGCTCTCTTGTAGCTTTACAATTTAGACTTAAACAATCAAGTGAGACGTATACCCTGGTTGATTGTATTTGTCGCAATATATGTGTGCAATTTGCTATCACTATGGTTATGATTTTGTGTGAACCTTTTGTTCAATTTATGCATAGTGTGTCACCTTACCTTCTCATTGATCTTGGTAAAATGTTCTACATTTCTTGTAGGCCATTGCAAAGGGAAGGCAAGGAAGAGAGGCACAGAATTTGGTTAGGGTAAGTTTGCTTTTGGATATAATGATACCCAGCAACAGGCTGGAACTTGAATGCTTGAGCTGTTGCTTGATGTCTGCAGGTATATCTGGCAAATTTGCGTCTTAAGGAAGTTTCGACTGACGTGGTGATCACTGCATATGAGCCTATTTTAATAAAGTAAGTGCCAAATGTAACTTCGACAAAACTTTGCAATATCTGTGCATGTTACAGACTATTTCTGTATGTGCTTTACAGTGCTTGCTAATTAATTTTTAACATTTATCAGAATTTTGGTGTTTACCATGAAAAGGAGTTGAATTGAACTTGAACATTAAAACGTTCTGACATTACCTGAGAAGGATATGCAGACCTATATTAGATGCAACGAAAAATGTTTGATGCATTGAGAGGGAAGAAAGTGAATTATGATCGTAAATTTTGGGAATGATCGAGTGATTTCGACTCTTTTGGTTGTTGGCATGTCTAATCACCAAGTAGCAAGTCTCTTGTTTTACCAGCCTCAGATAATGACAGTAAAGTTATGCATCCGCAATATAGAACAACCACCTAAATTCAGACAATTTAACTACATCTGTTGGAGGCTTGGAGCATTGTAATCTTGTCATCCGTCCTATTTTTTTTATTGTTCAGTAGGATGATCAGCATACCATATGACAAAAAGGCCGAAATGCCCCATCTCTTTATGGATAGAGATGGATCCTTTTACAACGTTGAGCTCTTTATACGACAACGCCTTTTGTTAAAATAAGAGCATTTAAATCTTCTGTCATTTCTAGTAAAGTTATCTTTGGTATTGTTATTGTATCTCTCATCGTACAGCATATCCTAGTAGACTCATCATATAATTACATCCACAGATCTCCTTTGAATGAAAATTCTTCTTTATATCTTATTGGCTACATCTAATTGTTCATAAATGAAAATATATTTTAATCTAACTTTCCTAGTAAATCGTACATTCACCTCAATGTTCTTATCTCATCATACTAACCATCAAGTATTCTGATTCCTAAGGTATGACTGACCTAACAACTAATTTATATGATTTTTCTTTCAATTTAAGAGGAATCTGATGAACATATAAAATACCCAATTGGCACACTCTGCACATTGAGCAAAAATATATTTGTAGGTGAATTCACAAAATTCTTTGCCCGAAAACATGTGTGATATTTACAGGGCAATGAATATCGAACAGGTGTTATCACAGATCTATTGATGATATACATTGATAAAATATACACTGTATTATCTTGGTTGAATGCAAATGCTTCGCCATGTCAATATGGGTAAGCTTGGTCGAATAACTACACCATATTTTTCTTTTTAGTCCAGAAATGCTGGCCTTGCATTATCATGAGTAACCGTTTTTGCTACTTGGTTTTAAAATTTTCTTTTTACCGGCATTACGTTCTCTCCTCTCTTTTCCATTTATTAATAGATTTACAATCACCAACCATTAAATGGGTGATATCTATTAATTGCTTCTGATAATGCTAGATTATGTATCTGTGATTTCAGCCCATTGAGTGAAAGTGCAAGGACCGTAAGAGCTGGTCTGGCCATACCTGCTGCGCAGGCTGGATGCCTCCCGATGGCTGAAGTCTTCAAACTTGCTATCACAAACTTCAAGATCCATGATTGGAGTCTTTTTGGCTCTGGGGCCTGACACATCTCCATCACCAACGTAAAGAAGGCATAAGATGATGAACTATTTCTCACTGGTTGGGGTTTTGTGAAGGATGTCTGTACCTTTGGTTCTGGACTTGAAGAGGTTCCTCCATGTCAGAGCTTTCATCAAAAACTAGTCAGGTAAGTCGTGTGAAGCTGATTGTAAGTTGCAAATCATTGTTTAGAGTCGGAATTTGGCATCATCTGGTTTTGATGTTGATTGGAAATCCAAAATGTTCAATGACCAACACATGTATAACTTGGATGTCTCCTTGGGCATCCAAACACCCTAATACTTTTTGTTACCAATAATTAATTTGAATGGCTGCATGGATTTCCATGCCGGAGCCGAGAATCCAATGACTTGAAAACTCAACTCTCTTTTTTGTTTTTTGTTCATCAGATCTGAACATTTAGATTGCATGACTTCAAGTGGTGGGATGACAGTAGATTCTGCCAACCTTGGTGGATAGGAACATTGTCCTGTTACTCCTAATACAAATCTTTTTTGGCTGCATTTGACAAAGATCAAAGCGATCTTTGTTTGAACTATTTTTTTATATATTATCTGACCTTTTCTGCTCCTCAAAAGTTCATATATATAATTCATATATATTTATATATGTAGTCTAAAAAATTTAACTCGATGAATGCAACTGATGAGGACGTGACACATCTCATTACTTTTATGGGTCGGCACATGCTATGAATTATGGGGGAAGGGAACCGACATGGGACCATCTGCTTAAAATAAAAAGACATGTAATCGTGTCAGTCCAAACTCGATGTATAAGTACAGTGATCACCTGACCATGCATGTAATCAAAAGCATTCCGACAAGTCAAAACCATTGAACGGACAACCCGAAATTACCGGTGTGTCTGGCGATCGACAAAGACAAATTAGCGATCCATTCGTACCCTCCGCCGGACCGCCTCTCAATCATTGCAAACCTCCCTCCACGTGACCGTGTCGGTTCGACTGGGATTTTCACCAAACTCCTCCGAGAACCGACCCCACCCCGGTTTACTCGAACCGGTTCCCCTCCGAGGATTGTGCTGTAAATGGATGGATGAACCGACGATTCGGTTGTTTAGTGCTCGTCGTCTTGGAACCTGAATTCGAAAACTTATTTCCCATTCAAATTCAATTGAATGATACATGAACTTGATCGAATCATTGCAAGACAAAACTTGTCATACATTCATCTTTCGGTTTCGTTGAACCCGACTCAAGCAGGTCAAATAAACCCGGTCTGCCATCTCGACGGGCTATTTCTGCTTGAGCCGGATCCCATGAGTCGAATGGCCTCTTCTTCGACAACTGTGATCATTTCATGCGTGGAATCGGCTGTTCCGAGTTGTCGATCCTGCACTGGAACCCTCTGCCCAATAATACTCCTAAACATATCCAAGCCGTCACAGCACATGCGGCCACCTCCTCAGCTTGGCCAACATGTCCAAGTGCACAACCCCCCTGAGTCCCAACTCGCCAAACCCGTCACCTTTCCCTACACCAAACACCAAACCGATGCACTAGAAAGCCCCACATCAACCAGCACGCCCTTAGAGCACCTTCGTCTGCTTCGTTGGATGCCTTAACTTCGCAGCAATTGTGTGTACGGTGGTGTCGTCAGACACCAGAACATGCGCTTGCCAGGTTTGCTCCATCACCACACCTCCAACAGGCAATTAAATACCAAAAAGGAATGGGGTGGATCGATTGGGCACTCGAGACGCAGCCAACAGCCAGAGAGGTTCTCCAGCCTCTCCTCCCTCCCTCCCTCTCTCTCTCTCTCTCTCTCTCTCTCTCTCTCTCTACCAAAAGGCTAAAAGAGGAAGTGATCAGGATGGGAGCAGAGGAGGAGAAAGCATGTGGGGCTGCCACTGCTGCAGTCACAGAGGGTGTGGTGGTGGAACCGACGGCCCTGTTGGACGAGTATTGGTTCTTCCACAACGCACTCGAGAGCAGGAGAAGACCACCGCCGCGGATCCTCCCCCCAACTCCTCCTCCCTCGAAAGCCAAGGAAGACGTTGGCAGCTCAATTTCGCATCATGAGGGTTCGATTACGAGGAGACCGTCCGGATTTGATGGAAAGCCTGCTCGCAAGCTGCTCCGGGCGCCGTCGATGCCGTCGTATCGCACCCGACAGGAGGAATCGAGTGACATGGCCTGTCCCAGGAGGAACGTAGCAGATGGCGGTAACGCACTGGTTCGGGCTCCGTCTCTGCCGGCGTACTGTGACGACCGTGACGACGCCACCCCACGAGACGTGAGAGATCGTTCGAGGACGACGAGGAGCTCAAAGCTTCAACATTGTTTGAGTTCCTGCGACGATCAACGACGTCCACAGCCTGCCTCCGGGGTAATTGACGTGCCACCAAGATAGCATGTGCCCATATCATTGTTGCAGCATCGGATTCGATGCCTTGATTGTGTCATCCGCACGACTTTGTTGCCCTTCTCCTCTTAATATCTTCTCTATGACTTCCGCTTTTGGTTCGTTCAGTGCGCCACGACACCAAATCCGAGCTTTCCAAGATTCCGACCGCCAAGAGACTGGAAGGAGGAAGCCAGCAATTACAAGTATTTCGCCAGCCAAACACGCCTCTTCACTGAAGCGAACTACATGAGATCTATCCAAGGGAAGAAGTGGAGAAGCTACAGCGACCTGGAGTCCTTCGAGATCCAAGGATTCAAGGACCTGGGCTTCGTCTTCGACAAGGAAGCATCGAACGCGGGCCTCGCGGACGTGATTCCCGGCCTGCGAGAGAGGCGGAACTCCGACGACGGCCATGGCCGCGTCCCTCGGCCGTATCTCTCGGAAGCATGGTTCGTGGAGAGATCAGCACCGCCGAGGCTGGAGTGGGCGGAGAAGAGGTCTGCTACAGACATGAAGGAGCAGCTCAGGTTCTGGGCGAGGGCAGTGGCCTGCAACGCGAAGCAGGATCGCTGACAGGTGACCTCACGGATCCAGCAATGCATGAAGAAGCTGCTCCGTTTCACCATCTTAGCAACAAACATATGCTTCGGTATACGTGACTGTGAGTGCAGTCAAGCACGTAACTTGAGCTCCATGGCCTAAAAAGAAGAGGAAGCGCTGGATGCAAGGGAGGGTGAAGGAAAGCTAAACCAAGTTTAGCATACGTAGGCACAATAATTGTGTTACAGCCTAATCAATCTCACACGCCATCCATTTAAATTGTGCCTACAACTCTATATTTGCTGCATTTCTGTCGTCGGAAACTGTTTTCTTAATTGGAAATTTTGTTTCTTTTCCAATGTTTGTGACGTAGGAAAAAAAAAAAGGGTAAATTAATTATTAAAATGATTTCTGAAAATTATAGCACCTTATTTTAATTAAAATCTCATCAACATTAGCATCCTTTGGTTTTTTTCTCCCCTTTCTGTTGCTCCTGCTGATCAAATTATACTAAATCAAATAAATAAATAAATAATATTTTTTTAATAAATATTTTTAAATATTTTTTTTTAAAAAAATATTTTTAAAATTTTAAATATTAGAAAAAAAATCCTGAAATAATATTTTAAAATATAACCATCACAAGTGTTATGAGAAGATGTCGTTAACGTCTTGATCAGCCCGACATTATTCTAATCATGTACACATATGATTATCTTATGTGTCTTCAAGGCGAAAACGATAATCTCTCGAGTTGTCGCCTGCATAAACCCTAATCATCTCTAACAAATTTCACATGGCTTTTACTTCGCATAAACAGAGATACCTTGTAATTACCTACCTTAGCCCCTTGTTTACATGGATAAATCGACGGCGATGTAGCATCTATCTTTTTCTTTCAGTATCGAAATCACGCGAAAGTCATATGTCAGATGATGATCGATCATATATATTCTTTCCATCAGTAGTTCAACTTCTTCTGTCGAGGTATTTGGATTGATTTGTAAATTACAGCATAAGTGATGATAAACCTCTATTTCGTGATAACGTGAGAGTGTCATGTGTTTCATTTAATATAATAAAAATACTTTTAAAATCATAAAAAAATACTTTAAAAATATAATGCACTTTTAGATGTTTTAAGTTCAAATTATCATCCGTAGATCTTTCTAATCTTATTATCAAATCAACTCATCATCACATTCTATGTGAGAGTAACCTTTTCTACATCCAATTATACTTTGGAACCAAATCCTTCAACTATTTAATTTAATGTTACTACAACATTATTTTTGTGTTATTAGCCCAATATTCGATATGTGGGCCTTTTTTTAGCATATGACGGTTCATCTAAAGGCTTAAACCAATAGATTAGTGGTTGGACCCAATTTGAGTATATGTTTTCTATTTACCATCATATAATAACCATCAAATTTGATTGTGTGTTTTCGTTTCGGAACCCAATACGAAAGAAACATCCGAACCGGATTTTAACGAATTGGATGGACTCCGATATCAAATAAAATCCGATAAGGTGCCAGCACGACAGCGATTTAACTCACGACTGGTTAGCTCGGCGCACATCCAGCCCGTTGATGTGCGCCAATTTTCATGTACTAGTCAAAGTCGTCGCTTAAGTCGGTTCATAGGGCATTTCCCAATTCCCATTAGGAACGAGAGAAGGTCCTCTCTCTTCGACGTCCTCTGCGAGATCAAGGAAGAGCCGGCGGCGGTCCGCGACTCGAGGCCGGAGTATCCTCCTGTCGGTCTGATTCCTCCCGAACACTTGCGGATCGAGTTGGGCCGCGTTAGGGGAGGGAGAGAGAGGATGATCCTGCCGGTGGTGAAACTCGGGACGTTGGTTCTGAAGACGGTCTGCAAGCCCATCGCCAGCAGGCTCAAGAAGGAGGCCGGCCTCCATCCCAAGTTCCGCCGATTGATCGTTAACGTCGCTCAGGTCTTCAAAATCTTCTTCTTCCTCTACGTTTCACTGATTCGAAATCTTCTTCCTCGGATACTAAATTTAGCGTCATGTCCGACGAGGGTCATTTGAAGTCTTATCGTATGTTGTCTATGATGTTTGTGACGTCGAATGAACCCAATGGTCCAACTTAGAAAGTTTGCTTAGAAATTGGCTTTTTGGTGTCACATTGTGAGAGAAATGAACATCGATTTAAAGAAAAATTGTTGTGAAAAAAAATCGGATGGCTCGATGCACAAGACTCATGTACAATGGGGGTCTGAGGAAGATCAATATATGCAGATTTACCTCTCTTTTGCAATTTGAATTGCAATTTGCATTTTGTTCAACTAGATTGCAAAAGAACAATGTTACTATGACCCCAAAACTCACCCTCAATTAATTTGCTATTATTGTGCTTCTGTATTATAAAACAAAAACATGCTTGCCATTAGTCTATTGAAGTACCTTTGGGATCTGTAGTTCATTGTTGGAGAACACTTCAAAAGCTCTAGCGAAGAAGCTTGTTGGTTACAGTTGAGCGAAATAAGAAGTCCTTTATGAAGTACTGAAGCTGAAATCATAGCCTTGGCAATTCTTCTGTGCACCTCATTCTAGAATTTGTCCTTTCTCTTATGTTATATGTGGTTAAATGTTCTTTAATTCCTTTCATGGTGCATTTAATAGTTAATACACATTCTGATTCGTGATTATTGCTCTGCTTCTCAGTCATTTTAGTTTTTATGTTTATAATATGCATGTGAACTTTAAAAATATATTGTCATTAACAAAGTGGTGCCATGTAAATTGTCTGTTACAGGCCAACCACCGAATCACAACGAACATACAAAGAAGAATTTATGGTCATTCAACCAATGTTGAGATCCGACCCTTGGATGAGGAGAAAGCTGTTCAAGCTGCTTCAGACCTTATTGGAGAGTTCTTTGTCTTTTCAGTATGTACCTATCCAGGCTATATGCTTTAACCTCCAAGCAAGTTTGATATATCCATTGAAGCTGATAACTTTACGTTACTTCTCATTGAAGCACAGCTTAATGTGTACAAGCTGTTTTGTCTTTTATCACAAAAACTGGTTTTCAAATTGAATAAGTATCGATGCATTTTCTTGTCTGCAAGAATAAGTATCAATAGAACTACTGTGGAGTGGATCTCGTGGTTTTGAAGTTTTTCTGGTTCTAAATCTAGATTGAGTAAACTACACTTGCTACTGTTTCACTATAGTCTTTGCCTCTTTGGTCTAGTAGGTTGCTGGAGTTGCTTTGATATTTGAGGTGCAAAGAAGTGCAAGATCGGAAGCTAGAAAGGAGGAAATCCGTAGGCAGGAAATTGAGGTAATAGTTAAAATTCTCATTTGGAAGATATAATATCTTTTCTGCTTTTCTGCTTTTCTGTTTCCACTTAGTATGTTCATTCTTCCATTTTCTTCATTTGAAACTTCTGTTGCATTTAGTAAATTAATATGAACGTGGAAACTCTTTTCAATCATTCATCTCATGTAGCTGCTATCAGCAATTCCTTAAGCACTGGATACAAACAATAAAATATTAGATCTTTTCATGATTTAATAAGGTTGTTTTGATACAGTTATGCAACGAACTAGAAAAAACTGTTAATCAAAGGTAGCCAACAAACACTGAAGGATGAAGAAACATGGAGAAAAAATGAAAACTGAGAGAAAGGGAAAAGGGCAGAACTACATGGAGAAATATTAGATCTTTCTCCTGAAGAGTATAATGTCAATCGGAGGAAGTCATCTCAAATTTGAGTGGGGGAAGCAGCCAATAACTGGATCTGTGAATTCAAAGCTATGCCTCGATTTTCTATTCAGTTTTACATCAAAGAAACTTGATATAGAACTATGAAGTTAATCCTGCTAAAACCACAGTTTAATTTAGGGTATTTCAATGCTGATGTAGCTATTTTGGTGCCAGAATCATAGTTTTTTTGTTTTTGGCAGAGAAGTTGAATGACTGGGTTGAGTTTTCCTTGCCTTTACACGAATGGATTTATCTGGTTACCTGTAACTTGTTCTTGGTTCTTAACCAGGCAAATTCTTGAGTCTTAACCATCATTCAGTGTTAATTTTTCCAGCTGTGGTCTGTGGCACGTGTCCTGATTATATAATATTCTCTTGATCTTTCAGGGTTTAAGCCCTAAATCACCTTAACTCCTTATTTCAGTCTCAATTGTGGTTATATTTCCCAAGTTCAGCAATTGTTGCTCCCAATGTTAGCTTGTCATTCCTTTCAAATCATAGAATAGCAACGATGATGATCTCAGTAGCTCTTATACAGACGAATTGAATTGTTTTTTATAATGAATCATTTTCTTGTGAAAATGATTCTCTCAGTTGCCTGGGTACGAAAATGATTCTCTCAGTTGCCTGGTACCCTAGCTTTTAATTCAAGCGTTTGGCCTCTGCTAATGTTCATTATTTGCTCATTACTGTTGGTACACACTAAGAAATAGGAAGAGACAGTATTACCTGCAAAAGCTTATCAAAATTTGATTACCATCAGTGATGACCTTTTGGTTGGTCATGTAAAGAACACATTTCTGTGTTGGTTGTTCATGTATGCCTTTCTTGGTCAGGATGGTCTGAGCTGATCATGTGTTTTATGTTATTCTATCTAATAATAATTTAGAATGCAGCATTGCAGCATTACTCTTTTAAGTTAGATTGCCATTTGTTATCTTACAGAAACATGTTTCCCCTTCTTGTAGGCTATGAAACAGAAAGAGGAGGATCTGATGAGAGACTTGGAACAACTCAAGCAGAAGCTTAATGAGATAGAACACCTTGCCAAGGGACGAGGCCTTTCAGGCATCATCAGCTTTAGGCATGACCATGCACCTGAAAGCAGCAAATCGGGAAACCCTGCTTGATTTTATTTCCGGTCATCTTTTGTGGGCAAAAGTCACTTGAGCGGATTGTAGTTCCGGTGGCACTAAGGTGGCTGTCGATGCTTGATATTTTAGAGGTTGGGCAGTTTGCCTAACCATTTTGTTGTTCTTGATGTATCCATTTTATGTTACCGATTGGATTATGAGAGGGTCATGCTCTATTTTCTCTCTCCTTTAGCAAATCATCTCTGAGCCAGTGTAAAGAGTCTGGAGCTTTATTTCCTAACTGGGATTGCAAATAAAGGATTTCTATCAGAAAATGCTGTTAGTGCTGAAAATGAAGCACTAAACCAAATAAAGTTAACTCTGAATTTTTTGCATGGATTGCATAGTCCACTTGTGTTTATGTCATTTGTGTTCATCTGTTCTCTAAATGTATCAATTTGCCTCCTCCAAGGACAATTGTATTTGGATGGATTGCATATTGCTCAAATGTGTTTCTATCATTTGTATCTTGATCATCTGTTTCTTAAATGCATCATTTTGGGCACTTTAGATTACATCCTCTGTTCTCATTTCTCACCATCCTCATATGAGAAGGTTATTTTCATCCTTTTTTCCATGCAGACTATTTGTAAGTTAAGAGTTGATATTTCATAGGAGAAAAAGGGTGATAGATTAGTCAATGTTTTTTTTTTTCATTATTTTGATTTAACTAAATGATCTAATGTTATACTTGGTGGCCTGTTTTTCTAAAAATATATTCATGTTTTATATATTTTTCAATCGGTACTTTTTATTTTTTATTTTTAAAGTAATATTTTTCATTTAAATTATTAAATTAATTATTATCTTAAAAATAATATTGTAATGATTTATGAGTAATGATAATAAAAAAATATGATATAATATCACCTACAAAAATAATGTAAATAAATATATATATAACACCTTATAAATTTTAATTTTTTGTAATTTAAAATTACATCAGGAAAATATTGAATTCAATTCAAATATTGTCTTTTATTTCTCTTTAAGAGACAATCTCCTTAGAAAAGAGAGTAATGATGGAAATCTCCGAGAAATATTAAATAAAATGATAAATCAACAACGATTCGTAAACGACTCTCTTTCTTTGGATAAATATGAAATGCCACATTTGTCCGTACCTTTTCCACAACTCCACTACTCTCGGAGCGGTGGCCTCCAATTCCGATTCCGACGCCGCGGAGGTCGGGAAGCTCTAAGAGCTCTGGGAATGTATCAAGGAGGCTAAGGACAAATCCCAGGTTTTCTTTTCTCTATCTCCCCTCGTTTTGCTCACCATTTCCCACTTCCTCGCATTCCTGATCCTGTTCTGGTTCTAGGGTTTCGATTCCAAGCGATATTGTATTGATGGCGTGATTAATATGGATTTCTAATTGCGTTACCAGCCTCCCCAAAAGTTTGCACAGATACCCATTTATGGATCAATTCTCACATTGGGTGAAACCTGAGATGTAGAGTCAGCAATTGACCTTTCTCTAGTTTACCCTAATACCAGATTTTTAGTTCGATTACTACCACCAGAAAGTAAATTCCATTTCAAATTTAGTATTATGATCACCTTTCTTGCCAGAAAATTTAAGTAACAAATGATGAGCTATGGAGCTTCACCAAAAATGAACAATCTGCATGCAATTAGAGCTTTTGTGTCACCTAACTTAGGTAATAGAGATAGTTCACCATGTGCGCTGTTCTGGTTTAATGCGATAGGTGCTGTACACAATTTATGATAAGGATGTCTTGTGCTGACTGTGTTTTTATTTTAGAAAAAAAGGGGTTCTACATATAAATCTTTGCAAAGTTAAACAAACGTTACATTTGACATTACGAATAATAACATAATATATGTTTGCTTACATACTAAAATCTTCCATATATTGCCACTCATAGTAACATTAATGACTTTTAGTGACTTTTAATGATGATTAACATTGGTCTATGTAAGTTGACATATATATATACATATATATATTTATATATGTATGTATATGTATGTATATATATGTGTATATATATGTGTATATATGTATGTATGTATATATATGTGTATATATATATGTACATATATATATGTATATATGCATATGTATATATACATATACATATATATACATATATATATGTTGATGGGTCAAATTGTTGGGTTTTTCACCTTGGAATTGTTAAACTAGCCATAATCAAGACCAGCTCTTAGGAGGAATAGGCCTATTTCTTCCTTGGTACTCTGTAAAACTTTCAATTCTATGGTTTCCCATACACTGCTACAAATGCAGATTTTCCTTTTATCTCTCCTTAATTTTAATGTAAAAAAGATCTTTGCTGTTACTCGATTATTGATTTCTTGCACTTTGTTTTTTTTAAAAGAAGGTTAATCTTGATGTTACAGTAAGGTTGATCCCTTAAAATCTTGGTGATCAAAGTTTGAAACGTCGGCATAGATAGAGTAAGATAATGTAGATTGATCATCCTTAGATTCTAAATTGGATGCTTTGGATATCAAAGAAGAATTGATCTGTATCTTGAACTGGCCAGTGGCCTGTCCCAACTCAACTCAGTTACTTAAGACCAAACTTCGTTTTAGGGAAGCTTAGCTGCAAAACTTAATTACGACAATATGTTGATTCTAGTTCTTTCATCTAAATATCCCAAACTGAAGTTTCCTATGATGGATTGACAATTACAACTCAAATCTAGCTACCTAAAATTTATAATCTATTGGTGAACTTCTGCACAACTGATGTCAAAGATTTTCCTTTGAATGGATTTACCCAGACTGCCAACTTATTTCTGAGCTTAAGGCACATAGAGCATGAGTTATTTATTGAGTTCACCAAAATAGCACAAATTGTATGGTGACCATCACTCAAAGATTTCAATCTATAATCAGACCTGAAGAAAAAAACGATTCTAACAAAATTTACTGTGCAATAGACTATCTTTCTTAAGCACTGTGAAAACCTATTCATCTTCTGAAATACCACTCTGAAAAATTTAGATTATTGTAGACCTAGCGAAGGCTTCAAGCATCTAATTAGATACAATCTCATAAAGTTTAATCGTAGACCATACATAATAGGGTATGTCTGCTGGTGATATATTAAGACATGAAATGTCATGAAGTTTAGTCATGGACCACAGTAGGTTATTTCTGATGCTTATTTATGAAAACTTGAAATGGATTGGCTTACTTATAATATGTACCTAAGTAGCTTTCCGAAGTTGTGTCCCAAAGCATTTTAAGCCACCAACATCTCATGGGAGACAAACCATCTTGCAAGGAATGTAGTTCTTCCACTTTTTCTCGAGACCATCACAGAATCACATGAAAACACATTCATGTAGTGACTCAAATCAACCTCCACCGGTTCAAAATCCAGAAAACCAATATAATAAGCAATATAAAATATGGGCCACCAGATTAAGAACACCAAAATCGAAGCTTCATGGGACAGAGAAGCTTGTGTTTGGAGGCACTTGATGGCAGACATGGTTATACTTCATCAGCAGTGAGTCAAATCAAGGACCTCATCTCCCTAGGAAGATGCAACTGACTACCCTAGAAAGAAACAGCAGTAGCAGCATGGTCAATAATTTATGAGTATGATATTTGTATTTCTTTAGTTGATTATGAACACCAATGTGTTGGGTGCCTCAACAAGATGGGGACATTCACAATTCTCTTTGTAAATTTAGGTAGGTGGAATGTGTTACTGTCATGCATGGTCCATTTACTTAAATTGTTTGTTAATCATGTGCCAGAAAACTATATAATATATCCGAAGTGGTTTCATTCTATATTTCTTTTTTTGTCACTAGTCAATGCTGGAGTCACATCTACATATAACTTGTACAAGATGCTCGAGGAAATTAGTAAACCCTCAGCATGATTCATTACGTAGCAAGTTGTTGGTGTTATTGGCATCAAGAAAAAGTATGAGAAACTTTGATGGTGGATGTCTCATTAAAATAATCATGCTTGTGCCAAGACTTTGGTAAAGCACTATATAAAGGACCAATTATTTAATCACTGCTTCCCTGTCTCCGCATAGTACAAATTTATGGATGTTTATCACTTAAAGAATTTCTTTATACAAGGAACAATTTCTACTTGCAGGTGTTTCACCAATAAAGGTAAACAAATAACTGGTATGATAACCATGACAAAATGATGTAGAATGTGAGGTTACCATGGATAGTTGTCAGTGCAGGAACAAATCTTTTTAATGACTGTTGGTTAAACTAAACTTGAGTTAAATTCAGATATCTTTTTTTTTTGTTATTTATAAATCTCCATTTTCAATTTCATCCTCATATGTAATGCATATTTAGGGATCAAAATAACAGGCCAATTTCAAAATTGTTGTTTTACTTGGTAATGTCATTCTGTTGTGTGATTGTATGTATTTCTTAGATTAATATTATAATAAGGACAATTATTCAAGGAAGTTGAGTGAGCTTTTGAGTGCAACAATATCTGCAAAGCATTGGAGGTTTGGTTAACATGGGACACAATGACAATTAATTGAAAGGAAGAAGAAGAAGAAGAAGAGAACAAAATAATTTGGTGATCATCCTTCCTCGTATGATGATGGCATGGCTTGATGGTGTGAAGCTACTAAATAGCAGTACTAGGTAGCAAACTGGAGCTGGGACTGTGTCGGAACAGGAAGAATAGGAGGAAAGGGAAAAGCTTGTTTTGTAGCACAAAATAGGGACAGGCGCAGCCTTTTCCCAAGTCAAACTTTGTGTCTACTTTTCCAAATAGGCATGTTCGACTTTAGGGTAGATGTGAAGTGGCAGCATCCAATAAGCTTTAGGTCTTAAACTGGGTCGCAATTGACTGAGTCACGATTTCAGATCGGACGTGCGTTACGCTGATCTGATCCCGTTTGGATCGATTCCATCAATCTCGATCGAGGAATAATAAGATGATCTCTCAATCAATGTATTATTATATTACATTTCAATTTATCAATTTAAAAATATCTTGATTCCTTCGTTACTCAAATCAATAAATAGTGTGGTCTGAGATGATGATGATGATGGTTACGAGAGAGAATTTGGAGTTACGAACGTGGAAATGACGTGGTTGGTGGTCACCAATAGGCTCAAAACCATAGCCACACCCCACAATCACATCACATCACAGCTTGGATGAAGAATTTAGGTGTCAATGCCAATTCATTGTTCAGCGAATGAGGACATCATCCGATGATGTGTGAAATAATGGATGATGATGATGATGATGATGATGTTGATATCAAATCACATGATCGCTTGAATCACGCACGAGATCAATCTCGTTGTTCTGATTCACATGTGGTCCAAATTTGTTAGAAAAAATATCTATGTATATATTACGATGTGATGTTGGTCTCTGACGAGGATAATAATGGTGACAAGACACGAGTCGACGTCAGCTGCCTCGGATGACGCCTCACGCCTCGATTGACTCGACAGCACCTGATCAAACGAATCGAGACGTCGGTCGAGGCGTATTAACGACCTGTTCAGGCTCGGCCCTCCACACCATGCCAACGCCAATGTCAGACGCTATCAGGAGTACGAGTCTGCCCCATGCAAGCGGGCACAGTAAGCTTCCCTATAAATACCCTTGCATGCTAAACGGAAAAAGGGGAAGAAAAAGAAAAGACACACAAAACAGATCTCTAGACATCACTTGACTTGATCGTCGGACGGGTCGGGCCGAGTTCCCACCTGACCTGTGTGTAGGTACGAAGACCGAGCCACCTCTTCGCCAGCGCCAGGGAGAGGGACCCTTCCTCGCAGGACGTTCCGGTGAGCCCCGACGCTGCCCGATCCGCTCTGCCACCCCCGTCGACAACCCTGAGAGACCTTCGACAGGATCCCCGTCATTCGAACCCGAACCGAGCCGCGTCGGCCCCGAGCCGCATCTCTAAATTTGTATGTACTAACGTTTTGAATTATTCAGCATTTAACTTTTGACAAATAAAAATAATATATATCGATTTATACATCCTATTCTTACCCCCACTAAATGATCTAAATAGCATCCAATCGAATCGGATCCAATCCATCCATCAATAGCCCCTAGAGTTTAGGGTGGGAATCATATCCATCCATCAACAGCCCGATCTTGAGGTACTAAATCATGAACTGAATGCATATCCCAAACCGATCACTTCGGATCGTATCACATCGAAATCATTTACCACTACAGTCATCGGAGGACTTACATGTGTGGAATGGGGGGGAGAACGCGAGAAGACAACAGAGGCCATCTTACGGCGGACCACAAGGAAGAGATCCACGAGTGCTGCTGCCTCGAAACTTGGACTCGCAGTTTTGAGTTCCGCCCTCGGTCGGGGTTTTGACTCTCCCCTCCACCGTTCCGCTCTCTTTTCTTCCTTATCGATTCGCTTCTCCTCATTTGACCGCCGTGTTTTACCTTCAACCGATAGATATAGACCAGAAGAAGAAGAAGAAGAAGAAGAAGAAGAGAAAAAAGAAAGGCGCCAAGCATCAAGAATTATAATTCTTGATCGATCACATTGGTATTATGTATGGGTCATATGAATTATATGTCGTCTACCCAACCCAAAAGTTAGCGGTCTGACTCCTCCCTCCAATTCCACCACCATGACCTCAAAATCGCGTTCCAACACCGCTGTTTCCTCCCTTGTTTCCATTCAAACTTCGAGGCTTCTTCGCAGTCATAGAGGCGGAAGAAGAGAAGGAGAACACCATATAAAACTCCTCCCTGCCTAACCCTTCTTCCTTGTTCATCTATCTTTCTCTTCTCTATCATCTCATTCTCATTGGCTTGATGCGGCTCCAACTATGAGGATGAGTTGGCTTTTCCTCTTCTGCTGTCTTCTCCAAGCTTTTTCCTCTTCAGCTTCTCTGTATAACTGGACTTCTTCGGCGCTGCTCGGATCTCTGGTCCGGGGGATCGAATTACCCGCACACTTGAGCTTTAACGCCGTCACCTCCTCCGGCGAGCCCAGCTGCGACCACCACCTCGACGCCGCCGCCTCTTCCACCGGATCGCTGACCAAGGAGGATGGCGTGGCACCGGCTTTAAAGCTCCACTTGAAGCACCGGTCGACGAGGGACGCCGCGGCCGCTGAGAGGTCGACGAAGATGGAGTTTTTGGAGCATTCCACCCATAGAGACATCCTCAGAATCCATACCCTCTTCAGAAGGGTCACCGAGCGCAAGAACCAAGACGGCTTCTCCCGCCTCGCCACCGCCGCCGCCGGTCGTCACCCCAAGACGATCCAGAAGGCGGCTGTCGCGACGCCTCCGGAGCTCACCGGGAGGATCATGGCCAAGGTCGAGTCCGGTGTCACCCTGGGCTCCGGTGAGTACTTCATCGACGTCTTCGTCGGCACCCCGCCGCGCCGCTTCTCCCTCATCCTCGACACCGGCAGCGACCTGAATTGGATCCAGTGCCTCCCTTGCCACGACTGCTTCGAGCAGCACGGCCCCGTCTACGACCCCGCCGCCTCCTCTTCCTACCGCAACATCAGCTGCGCCGACCCACGCTGCGGCCTCGTCTCGTCCCCCGACCCACCCCGGCCCTGCGGCACCAGCGTCGCCGACGGCCGCGGCGACGCGTGCCCCTACTACTACTGGTACGGGGACCGGTCCAATACGACCGGCGACCTCGCTCTCGAGACCTTCACCGTGAACCTCACCTCCCCGGATGGCGCCGGCGACGGGTTCCGCCGCGTGGACGACGTCATCTTCGGGTGCGGGCACTGGAACCGCGGGCTGTTCCATGGCGCTGCCGGGCTCCTGGGCCTCGGCAGAGGGCCGCTCTCCTTCTCCTCCCAGCTCGGTTCGTCCTACGGCCACACCTTCTCCTACTGCCTCGTCGACCGGAACAGTGACCTCAGCGTCAGCAGCAAGCTCATCTTCGGCGACGACGAGAGCCTGCTCCGCCACCCCGACCTGAACTATACCTCCTTCGTCGGCGGGAAGGAGAACCCGGCCGACACCTTCTACTACATCCAGATTGAGTCGATTGTGGTGGGCGGCGAGGCGCTGCAGATACCACGGGAGACGTGGGAGCCGGCGAAGGACGGCAGCGGAGGGACCATCATCGACTCCGGCACGACGCTGAGCTACTTCACCGACCCGGCTTATCAGAAGATTAGAGAAGCCTTCGTCAAGAAGGTGACCAAGTACCCGGTGGTGGAAGACGTCCCGGTGCTGAGCCCCTGTTACAACGTGACCGGGGTGGCGAAGGTGGAGCTACCGGCACTGGCGATCCGGTTCGGAGACGGGGCGGTGTGGAACTTCCCGGTGGAGAACTACTTCATCCGGCTGGAGCCGGACGAGATCATGTGCCTGGCCATCCTGCCGACGCCGCAGTCGTCCCTCTCCATTCTGGGCAATTACCAGCAGCAGAACTTCCACATCTCCTACGACACGAAGAACTCCCGGCTGGGATTTGCGCCGGCGAGGTGCGCCGAGATGTAAAGAACCTAATCGATGGGTTGTAGGAGTAGAGGGTTCTCAAACTCTTCTTCATACCAAATTCTTCGGTTCCTCCACCACAAGTGTAAGAAACTAAATCCAAAGCCTGTGTTGTTCTTTTGCTTTCTATTCCTCTCACGTCAAGTCGATGCCACCTCGAACTGCTTGCGTTGACCTGACCCTTTCCATTCTTCTCTGGGCTGGTAATTCGCAACACCTTTGACTTTTCTGAGTTGCTGACTCTTCCAACGGCATTCGCCCGGTCAAATTAGAAATTTCAAGTCTATGATCATTACAGACAAAGATAGTAAGAAGTATCATATATATATATATATATATATATATATATATATAATTCCTAATTAATGGTTTCCTCCCACAGCTAAAAAATCTAATAAAAAAGAATGACGAATCTAATAAAATATCCATTATAGTCATTTTAGAGTAGAGGTGAAATATACTCCAATCCCAAAACGAATATTGTCCGATGAGAAACTGAATTGACCATTCGGTAGATTATAACTTCTTACGCA